TTTAGTTGCTAAATGATAAAAAAAAAAAATATACAACCTAATCTGAACTACAGTGATGAATTATATGAAATTGAATCATTTTGAATACAACTTTAGGCCCAATCATATTTTATTCATACAATGATTAAGTTCTTCTAATTTTAACATAGATAAAATATATTGTATTGTTTTGATTTCTAGAAAATACAACTACATATTATAAACGCCCAAAATATAAGTTATTATTTATCAGTATTAAATAAATTTATATTATCACCATTAAGATAAACCATAATTTAATGGCAGTCTAATTATTTCTTAAAAGAAGATGATGTCGCTTAAAAATCAGGAAAAAATGAAGGAAGACAAAAAGTTATTGGAAAATTTTAAAATATATAAAATTATAAACAATAATAATTTTATATCCTATACTGGCATAATTGAAAACCGATCAATGCATGTTATATTTATTCAATAATCTCCAATAGATCTTTTGGTAATTAGTATTAATGAAAAATAAAATATAAATTTGTTTGCAAATTTTGTCAAATCTTTAAAATAAATATGGATAGTTGAGTAGAAATTATATTTTATTTCTAAAGTAGTTATGTTATATACCCGATATTATCAGATGATTAAAACAACTTGTCCTATAATAATACTTAAACAGAATAAATGACTTAGATATTTGTTAAGGCTATTATAATGATAATTTATACATTAATATTTATCAGTTTTATTATGTTTCAAAAATTAATCAGGAAGTTGGTCTAAAAAATATTACCTGCCCCATTACTGACAGGCTACATATTATACATATAGCACCTTAATCGGGGAAAATCTGGAGTTAGCCATACATTTGTTTGTAACTATAGTATTAACACTGCAATTGTACAGATTTTAAATATTTCAAAAGTTTTGTTGTCGTTTACGCTTCTGATCCATAGCATCTAGTATTGGTTGGCGTTTTGTTTGATAACGTCGTCGTAGCTCATCAATTTCATGTTCCATTTCAGAATCCAAATTAGACATTCTTTGTTGCAAGTCATCAAAGCTTAAAAACTTCAACTATATAATAAAAATTAAAAAAGTAATATTAGGTGGCCTAGTGTTAAAATTAATTTTATGAGTTAATATGAGCAATTCATTAATCTAAAATTATTTGAAAAAATTATGATTTTTAATTGACATTTGCGTTAAATTTATCGTTTTTTAATTTAATAATTCATCAAATATAAATGAGGGTAGAAACTGTCTCATTATCACTTATGACGGTTTGCCACTGCAACTACTTAACTACAGGGTGATTGATTTAACGTAAAACACTCATTATCTCAAAAAGTATTAATGTTTTTGAAAATATTGTTTTAAATAGTTTCAAGTTGTTAAAAAAACAACGTTTTCATTAAAAAATTATATTTTTAAATATTTTTTATCCTTATAGTTTTTTAAGTTTTTTACTTTTTTGAATGACAGCATAGAGTTTTAATTTCATATTCCAAAGCAGAATATTTTTCTAAGTATTTTGATACATAAAAATCGAACTTAGAACGAGTAGTTTATGAGTTATAAGTATTTCAAGTTTAGATGGGCGGTGTAGTGGATAAACATTTTGCGGGGTATACCACTCCACTCCGCTCATCTAAACTTAAAATACTTATAACTCATGAACTACTCGTCCTAAGTTCGATTTTTATGTACCAAAATACTTAGAAAAATATTCTGCTTTGGAATACGAAATTAAAACTCTATGCTGTCATTCAAAAAAGTAAAAAACTTAAAAAATTATAAGGATAAAAAATATTTAAAAATATAATTTTTTAATGAAAACGTTGTTTTTTTAACAACTTGAAACTATGTAAAAAAATATTTTCAAAAACATTAATAATTTTTGAGATAATGAGTGTTTTACGCTTAATGAATCACCTTGTATAATATTTAACCAGAAGAATTAATATTAATTGAACTCACAAGTTAAATACTATTTTTTAAATAAGGTCTCTAAATTACTATTAACATATCAATAATACTTACAAAATCAAAGTCTCCATCAACAATTGGTGTGTAGTATCGGTTTTGATGAAGAGCTGTTGGTAGATTACCATCAGGTCTGCAGTTTATTTGAGGCATAGGAAATTGATTTAAAGATATAGTTTTTTCAGATTCGTCAATCTATAAAAAATGGTATTAGATATATTTTTAAGTTGGAAATTTATAATATACATTACTTGAGAAACATCTTGAGCAGAATCTGGTCCATCACCAAATAATTTGTTTCCCACATCAAAATGATCGTTCTAAATTAATAATAGTAAAAATATTAACATAAAATTCCATAAATAGCTATTAATATTCTATAAGGTAAAAAATAGGAGCTACAAGTAAAATATTTAATGCAAATTAAAGATACTAGTTATTAATAATTACTTTAGATTTTTCTGCAATTTTTTTATCAAAATGATCTAAGAATAAGGGTCTGTACTTTTTACCAGATTCTTCAGGTCCTGTATCATGCCCTAGAATACCAAACATATTATACAAAAAAAAACAATCAACTCTTTTCATTCATATATATTGATGTACATACTCTTCATTGTGGAATCATCTTCTCCATCACTATTAATTACCATTGTTCTCAATTCTTCTACTAATGAATTACTTTTTAAACTTGTCCCTTTTGATTTATCTGGTACAAGGGTACTATCATCTACTATCATTGTACGACTGTCAATATCATCTTCCTAAGTAGACAGATAATTTAAAATGTATATCCAATTAATTACAATATTTACTGATCCAAGGCAATTACTTTAGAGTTTTGATCTTTGGATTCAGCTGATTTGGATAATGAATTAGAACGGAGAGTTTGATTCTCTCGAATTTCTCTTGCTTCAGCAATCATTTGACTTAAAATTTCTGGTGGCTTTGGGTTAGCTAATTTTTAATAAGAAAAATCAAACTATCAGAAATACAGCACTTTATTGATTATAAAATTGTAAATTACTATTTTTATAAATTTGATAATAAAAATGTATTATCTTCTTACCAATAAATTCATGATCTAACATTTTTGTGGCTGTTGCTCGTTCCTCTGGGTTTTTGATTAGACATTGACTAACAAAATCGATAAATTCTGGGGACCACTTATCTGGTTCTCGAAACGAAGGTGGTGGTTTAGTTGGTATCATGAATATGGCGCGCATTGGATGTATATCACCGTATGGAGGTTTTCCTTCAGCCATTTCCAATGCAGTTATTCCTAATATATTATAATATAAGTAATTGTAATTATTGAAATACATAATTATTCTTTATTCAAATACTCAATTCGTTATGAGTTATTTTTATGAACTAATTATTAATATACCTAAGCTCCACATATCAGCAACACAATCGTATCCTATTTCTTGGATTACTTCAGGTGCCATCCAAAATGGAGTTCCTATTACAGTATTTCTTTTGGCCATTGTATCCTAAATAATAATAATGCATACACTATTTAATGTTTCACGCCTATACACATTTAATAAGCACGAACAGTCAGCTGTCCAGCAACCCCAAAATCAGCTAGTTTAGCATGTCCTTCAGAATTTAACAATATATTTCCAGCTTTAATATCTCTGTGTATTTTTCTCCTTAAATGTAAGTACTCTAGTCCTTTAAGTGTGTCTGACAATATAGTAGCTATTTCATCTTCTGACAGTGTCTTTTTTCTTAATCTCATGATGTCAGATACCGAACCAGCACCACAATATTCCATAACAATCTTTACAAAACAGTTAATATTTCAGAAAAAATATATAATATTAGGTAAATAATAAAAAAAATTAATTACCCATAAATCAGTATTCTTAAAATATGAACCATAGTATTTAACTACATAGGGGCTGTCGCATTGTTGCATAATAGATATTTCTTTTATAATTTCTTGAAGATCGGTGTCAACCGGTACTTGCTTAATAGCAAGTACTTGCCCAGATTCTTTGTGCAGGGCTTTAAATACACTTCCATAGGATCTGATAACAAACAGAAGTTAGGAGGTAGTCTTCAAAAATAATCATAACTATATTACCCTTCTCCAAGTTTACAAATTATGTCAAACACTTCTTCCGGCTGCCTGGTCAAACTTTCTTCAGACAATTTTTTCAATTCACTACAATAAAAATAAAAATCATGTATGTATTAGTAAACCATTAGGAAACCAACGTTTGATATTTCTGTGTTTACCTCTTTGAAGACATCATTGTGTCAGGAGTCTTGTAATTAACATGGCAGAAATTGAATGCAGATTTCGGGTTCGACATGTAATAAGCTGTTTTGCTATGTACAAACAATACAATATAATATATAAATTTTATATATTTATATTATATATTCATATAATATATTACTACATCAATCAAACAAAAAGAAGACAAAATTAAAACGAAATAAAAAATAAAATGTTGGTAGAAAAATGATTAAAAATGATGGTAGTAACGAAAGACATTCCCGTTATCATTAAAATGTGTGATTATAAATCATTTCTTGTTATCTTGTATCAGTCATATTATAAAAGATTATATCGAATTTAGGCGGTATTGGGGGGGCCACTACTGGTCCAGGAGTCCCGCCGTCACAAGCCCCGGAGATAATGAAATGATGTACATTGACACATTGTACATCATAATACCTAATATAAAAATTATAATATCGAGATCCGTAATTTGCACGTGCAATATTACTATAAATTACAGTCGAGTATAAAATATGACCAAGTAATCGAGAAACTTTGAGCTCATTGTTTCTTTATATAATTTTTCGAATTACTGTTAGCAATATTTTACATGAAACCATATTCACCTCTGAAGTAATACCATAGACTGATCAACGTCCGGTATAATATTTTGTTGTTGCACCAAAAGACAAAATACTCATAAAATGGAATGCATTTGAGTATTTGACATCTGTCGGCGAAATATTTTGTGGCTGTTGTTCGTGAGAAGTAAATCAACAGTTGACATAGGTATAAGCAACAAATTATGATTCTACGCAAGACAATTCATGATGTGCGGTACGCAAAGAAGTACAGCGTTGCCTTGGCCAAACCGTTGTCTGAACTTTTCAATCAACCAAAGCCAAAGTTCAAATATTTTGTCAAAAACCAAACTGTAAGACTTACACATTCATTTTTAATTTTAACTAATTAGTAAAATTATGTAAAAAGGGAAGTGTAATGTACCTCATCACATATTTGAAATATTATTGTTTAGGGACTTTTTGGTGCACCGGAATTGATTTCATTCGAGGGGTTTTATGCATTCAAGGAGCGCACAAAAATAGATTGTGACAATTTAATTGATGAAATATGCAATTCCAATCGGTAATTTTTATTTTTTGCATACTTTTAAATAACATCTGTATTTAGAAAATAAAATTACAATTATGAGGATGTCAGCGCACTATTTGTTTTCTCCCACTGACCCATGTGCAACATAGACAAATCGCATTTGCGCAGAATCTATTTTTCTGTTTTTAAGTAGCTTAAAATTAGCCATTACAAAAAAGATAGAGAATAATATTTTTGAGGGAATATCATAAGTATTGTTTTGTCTAAATATTGTTTCAAAACAATTTGAACATCATTTAAATTTACAACATTTTTTTGTTTATTTTGAAATTTAAATACAAATAAAAATAAAGTATAAAATCAATATGTCATTCCCCCTAAAATATTATTCCTTATCTTATTTTTAATGAGTGATTTCACTCTAAGATTACTTAAAAACACAGTTAAAATGATTTGGCGTAAATGCATCTTGTGTATGTTGCACGTGGGCCAGTAAAAGAAAGCAAATAGTGCTCTGACATCCTCTTATGGATATGTTGATACTAGATAAATTATAAATAAATGGTTTATCACTCATATTTAAATCTACTTTTTAATAAAGCCTGATCTTGGAAAAACATAAAAATAAATTCTGATCTACTTAGCAACAAACTTTAATAGTCTTAAATAATTTGTAAACAAGTAATCGATGCATTTTCATGACAAACTCTAAGAAATTGTTTTTAAATTAAAATTTAATACTTATAATATACAAACATTAACAAATTATTTTAAATGAAAATATATTTACTCCAAGTACTTATTATATTTTACTGATTTTATAATATTGTATGATTTATCAATTAATAAATTACTTTTTTTTTGTTGTAAATATCAAGTGCATAATATTTATTGTATGTTTTTAATTAATAAACTTAAAATGTTGACTCCATTATGTCCTTAACAATTTAAATATTTTATTACATTATAGAAATATAATTAAATTGTGTCATATAATAGCAAGAGAAACCTGGTGACAATTTTTGACCAGCTGTCCAATAGTCTCTGTTGTCTTGCTGATATGGCTGAATTCATTCGTACAGCACATCCAGACAAATTGTTTGTTACTGCTGCTGAAGATTGCTGTATTTCCATGAATACTATTGTAGAAAAGTAAATACTATACCTCAGTTTTAAATTTGCTATTATATATAATATTTATTTTTTAGATTAAATACTAACAAAGATTTATATACAAATTTGAAACAAGTAATCCTAGATGGTGATAAACATCCTATGACTGAAGAGGATCGACATGTTGCTGAATTATTTTTGTTTGATTTCGAATTGAATGGCATACACTTAGAAGAAAGGAAAAGACAATATGTTGTTAATTTGAATAATTTTATTTTGGTTACTGGTCAACGATTCATGGTTGCTGCAGAAAAGCCTAGAATTGTAGATCCAACTGGATTGCCTGATGTTGTTTCTAAAGTTCTTTCTAAAGAGTATAACTGTAAACGTAAAAGTATATTTAACTAATGAGTTAATTTTTTTATTATTTTGATTAGATATAGCTCAGGAGGGAAGTTAATAGTTGGACATCCTAATTCTCATTCTGAAGATCCAATTTTGAGAGAAGCCGCATTCAAAGTTTACAATGGTCCAAATAGTGAATCAGAAGAATTGTTGGATAATCTTTTAGAAAGCCGTCATAAATTGGCTTTGACTTGTGGATTTCCATCTTATGCTCATAGGTGAGAATTGAGAAGTTCCGTTCAAGCGACAAAAGCTGATGTTTATATATATATATATTTTTTTTAAGAGCTCTGAAAAACAGCATAGCGGAAAATCCTTATTTTGTAATGGAGTTTTTGAATATCTTAAATACAGAGTTGAGGATTCGGTCAGTTTTTGATTACAAGACTATGAAAAGAGCCAATAACAATAATGTAATTATCCCCCCTTCCCCATAATTTTCCCAAACGGGAACCAAACTAGTGCTTTGTTGTATCTAGGAACTACAAATAATTGTTTTAATTTTTCTAGATTGTATCACCATGGGATGTACAATATTTAACTAACAAGATTAAACAGAATCATCTTAAATATGCAATGATTGATTATGCGTCATATTTTTCTTTAGGCGATTGTATGGAAGGATTGAATATGATTTTTAATAGTTTGTACAATATAAATTTGTTATTTGAAAATATAAAGCCAGGCGAAGGGTGGGCAGAACAAGTTTACAAGTTGGCTGGTAAAAATATAATTCCTATTTCTTGACTGAAATTCTTTAAATTTAACAAATATTTTGTTTTTAGTTACACATAATACAGAAGGTTTACTTGGATACATTTATTGTGACTTTTTTGAAAGAACAGGAAAACTACACAATGATTCACATTATGTTGTTAGAGGAGGACGGCAGTTGCCAAATAATTCTTATCAAGTAAATATTTCCCTTAAGCTATAGATAATATATATTATGCCGAAACAAAATGCTTAAATTTAATATTGTATCAGACCCCGATTGTAGTAGTCATGTTAAATGTGGTGTGGCGCGAGAATCATGGCCCAGTCCTTTTGCACCCAGGTTCTGTTGAAAATTTATTTCATGAGTTTGGACACGCAATACACTCTATGTTAGGTCGGACGCGTTATCAACATGTCAACGGTACGCGTTGTGCAACAGACTTGGCAGAATTTCCATCAGTTTTAATGGAATATTATGCTACACAACCACAAGTAAACTAATAATAATATAATAAAAGGCAATAACTATATTGTATTCTTAACATAATATATTCTTTACAGGTCATAAAACACTTTGCCAAGCACTTTAAAACTAGACAACCCATGCCGGAAGACATGTTGAAAAAATTATGCGCATCCAAATATTTATTTGCTGCTTCTGAAATGCAGTTGCAGCTATTTTATTCTGTACTAGACCAATATTACCACACACAAGCACCACAACCATTAAATACAACTAATTTGCTTGCAAAATTGCAAGTAGAATATTATGGACTGTCATATGTTAAAGACACGGTAAGATATGTTAATTTACAAAACTAAATAAACTAATAACTTATATTATGTAACTATTATATAGGCATGGCAATTACATTTTTCACATTTTGTTGGTTATGGCGCAAAGTATTATTCGTATTTGGTATCAAAGGCATTAGCAGCACACACATGGCATGCATTCTTGAGCAATGATCCACTAAATAGAATTCAAGGTGAACGGTTACGTACAAAATGCTTACAATATGGTGGTGGGAAACCAGCAAGAAAATTAGTCTCCGATTATCTTAAAACACCAGTAACTCCAGAACTCTTAGCATCATCTCTAATACAAGATATTGATCAAGGCACTGAACTCTCTAAATTGTCTTTTGCATAAATATATAACAAAATCTCATTTGTCTCATAAATAAATTTGTTAAATATTTCAATTGATTATTATCAGATTTGAATATCCTTAATTGAAAAATAAAAAAAAAGTTTAATTTATTTTGAGACAAACAAGTTGAATCCTAGAGTAAACTAATTTGAGGAAAGTGACTAAAATTGTTATCTCATAAATCAATGTATTTATATTATATAAATAATTTAGTGTAACAATACCCATTTGTTTTCCAAATTAATGAGTTTTCAATCATAATACCCAGGGTCAGTATGCCTGAGGTAACTAACCAAACTAGAATGTAGCAGAAATAAATATATAAGTAAAATGTTGTCTGTTTTAATTATAAATGTGTCTTATTGTTAAAAATATTAAAAACAAAATCATAAAAAATTAAATTTAAAGTTATAATATTGTTTTTCACTTAGTACAAATTATTTTTATCTTGTTAAATAATTGCATAATTGAAAGCCAGTACATACAATTGATATAAATAACTGTTAAGTGTACATACAAATGAAACAAATATTACGTTTTGTTGTAAATTCTCAACTGTTCCTTAACAAGTATGATTATGATTGTACACTTTAAATAATAAAAAAATAATAAAAAATGATGAGTATTTTCTCGAAATAACACTTTTATAAAACTAATGTAACAACATCAGATCAAACTACACATTTAGATTTAAATAATAACAATTAATCAAATATCCTTTATGAAGGTGGAAATTCATTGTTTCTTTAAGCTGAAAATAAACAAAATTAAGAAATTATTAATTAGTAATTACAAGAGATACTAATACTAAGGGCCAGTTGTACCGTCTATGATTAAAGTTAATCAGAGTTTAATCGGCTGAATTTCCCCTTTTAAATATCTGTTATCAGCTGATTAATCGCAGACGGTACAACTGGCTCTAAAAGATATTGATGTTGCTGATATAAAATTCCTACATTGCAAAATTATTGTGACAATTTACAATATTGAAGATGTATTGAATATTTTATTCTTCTTTATTTCTGGTTTATATGATCTAACTATTACCAATTAGTAAGTAAAATTAAAGATGATTTAAAAATCTAGATCAGCCAATGGAGCTTCTGTAACTGGGTTTGTATCGAATGTAACTACACAATATATAGTTTCACTATGACCCAAACTTGTATGATAAAGGTCCATAATTGTTTGAGGAGGAGCTTGCAAATAAGTTTATTATGTAGTCTATTTATTTTCACTCCCAAGTAACGAGTACTTAGGAAAAACAGGGTATACCATAACCGGGATGGCAATATGATATCAGTCATAAATTATGAAGCAAACAAAATCCATTTAAAAAAGTTGGCAATGTGGATACAAGTTAGGTGTCACGTGAGTCACTATTATGAATGTGTTGTATTTGAATTCAAATTATATAAAAACTATTGTATACGAAAAATGATTCTTAGGGAAAGCAGTCTGTCAGCCTATATTATTAATTATATCTGTATATATCATGATATTAATGTGAATAATAATACAACATAAATATACATCTACTAATATTAATTTTACCTTTGATATAACGGTATGTTAATGCAGTATGGTGTATTGGGTGAATCTGGTTCGGTTTTATAAAGTTGAACACATGGCACATCGTTATTAGGTGCATTAACTGTATTCACTAAAACTGTATCATTCCCAATTATCGTAAATATCTTGTTGGCAATATCTGGAGTCATAGTATTTGGAGGTAAAAAATTCATTGATACTTTTATAGCCTAAAATGTACATAAAAATAATTTTAATCACACATAAATAATAATTAGAGATATTTTTGAATACCTGAGGGGCAATCTTGGCCATCAACGGATCATACAATTCTAAATCAGCTAATTTAGTAATCTCACACTGTGCAATATTGCCATAGTCTATGTAAATTATCTTGGCCTGAAATAATATAATTTAGATTACTTAGTAAAAATGAACTACAATTATTCCAAAAAAAAAACAAAAAACAAGGTAATCATTAATTTAATTAAGTTTTTTTTTTGTAAAATTACATTTTATGCAGATAAAAAAAAAAAGGTACTTGGTTGGTTATTGCCCTGCATCAGTACTCTTACAAGTGGATAACATAGCAAAATTTAAACTCAGAAAATTACATTAAGCTCTATTAGTTTAAAAATTTGAGAGAAAAACCACTTATACAATTTAAAGGATTATTATCTAGGACATCTCATAGGTTTTTTGTTATATTTTAATTTTAAAGCTAGATAGAGTAGTATTTTAAGATGTACAAACAATTTACAATTTTAAAATACTCATAACTCGCTTTAAAATTAAAATATAACAAAAAGCCTATGAGAATCGTATAAGATGCCGTAGATAATAATCTTACCTTTATATTCTATACAAAGTCAATTCACTCTTATTTTTCAACTAACTAAACTGTTGAGAGTAAAATGTGTTATGTTACGTACTTGTAAGACGGAGACAACAAATGTCACAAATGTCTGTGTAGGGTCTTCTTAAGTATATTTTTATCATAATAGTACTAACTTCAGAGTCATTGATTATATCAAGAACTTGAACACGGCTCCATATATTATCAGCTTCATACTTTGTTATGTACACTTTGTCTTTTCTAATATCTTCCTTGCTCTTCAAAAAATAGTCTTGGTCTAAAAATTCATCGTTTGGCAAGATTTCTTCAAGTGATGTAACAATGTCAATGTTTAATTGTAAATATAAATGGCCAGACTCAACAATTGATGATACATTTCCATCCACAATAGCTTGATCCTACACAATTTTAGTCAATAATAATGAACAAAATAAACATTATTTAATAATATTGTTTACCTCAAATAATGGAAGCTTTGTACTAGTTTTTTCTAAAAATCTTTGAATGATCATGTCATTTACATTAACTTTTCCTTTTTCATATAAAGTGACTCTTGCACAACCTTCTTCTAATAAATCTGGTACAATGAAGAATGTTTTATTCAATATCATCTCATCCAATAATTCTTTTAAACCATCGAATGTGCCAAAATTATCCAGTTGAGTTAAAATACATTCAATAGCCTAAAAATGTAGAGCAAAGGATGTGTATATTAAGGGTTAAGTTGTTTATACTAAATAGTAGTTACTACTAAAAGTTAATTTTTAAAATTTAAAAAAGTATCGATTATTGAATAGGCAATACCTACAACTTTTAAAATATTGTTTTAACAAACAAAACAAAAAATACTGCAACATCGAAAAGTTAAACGAAATATATCATATTTTTTATAACTTCAAATTCAGACTAAAATCTGGTAACAATACGTTGTCGTTTGTTATAAGATCTCCTCTATTTATAAATCACTTGGGTAGCTAGGAAATGGATTATGAAAGGTATACACCATAGTCCCTAACCTGTAGTTACTATTAATTACAAAGGTGCTCTATGTTGTCATTAATGAACATGGACACAAGATGTAATTGTTTTGAAGAAATGTCAACACGAAAACAAACAAGTTTTGTTTTAACTAATAATCTTTTTGTCCAAATTGTGATAATATTATAATGGATACATTTTTATTTTTAATGATGCAATTTACCTGAGTTTTAGGTTTCATAAAAATTGGTTCAAGGTAACAAATCTGGTCTTTGGCAATGTTCAATTGCTCGCCAGTGTCTATCATAAAACATGTAGCCGTACCATCCTCATTATTAGCAGAAGATATTTGTACTCTATGCCAGGACGAATTGTATAGTACAGCATAAAATTCACCTTCAGTAACTTGATCAGGGATACTTAACCCTGCTGTGTTCATTGTGTCATTAAATTTTGCTTGCATTTGAATAAAGTTTTCCTAAATACATGTTATTTATTTTTTATAATATTCTTTATACCTTAATATACATATTTTTATTTTATACATTAGTAAGATGATTAAAAATACTTACATCTGCACTCTGTCCAACCAAACGGACCCAAACATTAGCTGAACCATAGTTAGCAGAAACGAGAACGGTTTTTTCCGTGTAGTCTTCAAATAATAATGGTGTACCCGGAACAAAGTTTTGTTCTTCTGCAAAATCTTTATTTGTATATTCATGACCATTTTGTTGATTATTCTCAATTTCATTCTAGATAGTAAACATATGATGTTAGCTCATAATTATTTTTATTTTTTTATTGTATAGAAAAATAATTACAAGATATATAACGAGTTTATTAGCAGCTGCTATCTTATCAAATGTGAAGTAACTAAAAACTCCTAGAAGCTGATCCCAATTATCAGGCAAGTTTTCATGAAATTCCTCTCTATACATACGTTCTAAGAGATCACCCATAACGCCAGTAGTTTCATAACCTCGTTTTAAAAGCTAAAATAGAATATAATATACAATGTATTAATGATCAAAACTATATTATTTATTACCATAATTTATTGTAATACCGTTTTAACGCAAGATGCCATTGTATTAATATCATTAGTAATTGGGTAAATAACACTTTCCCCATATTGCTTTTTTAAAGCAGTTAATGCGTGTTTTGCAGCAACTTTTTGTGCATAATCGATTGTATTACAATCAACTGGGAAAGAACTACCCACACTTTTTTCATTTACCTAGAAAATATATTTGAAATATTTTACAATTGTAATACATAATACATATAAATTGGTTCTATAATAGTCAATTTCAAGACTAAAAGAAAAAAAATGTATGCCAATGAAACATAAAAATAAATAATTTATTTAAATAAATTGGAAAAAATCTAGTTTAACACATGTGGTTTAAAATATTTTATTAAACTAATACACATATTATTAAAAATTATATTTCCAAAAGGAAAATTATGGATAAAATAAATTTTTTAGTTTAAAATATATAAAGAAAAATTGGGCTTCCACATATTTCCACAGCCTATATTAAATTTTAACCTTTGAATACTTTTATTTTCAAAACAAATATTTTAAAGCAAAAATTGGAAGTTAAAATGCTTATTTCTTACACTGTGGTACATGTGTAATACATTTTTCTACTGACCATACACATTTCGAACCGATAAAAAGAACAAATATCTGATGGTAGAATCAATATTTTATCAAAATCTATTATTAAAAAAAAAAAAAAAAAATTAAATACCTATTAGCTAGATTTACATATAACATGAACTGAACTCTTACCTTAATTGTACAAATGTGCGTTATTTTAAGTATTTTCCCAGATTTTTCTTTTTTCGCCATGTACTCATAATATGGTTCGCATAAATTTAAATGTTTTAAATATGTTTCTAATTCGTTAATATAGTCCTTATCTTCTTCAAACACCTAGTAATCAATAATTTATTTTAAAATTTGGTTTTACTTTTTCAATTACTAAAAATAGGTAGTTACTAATATAAAGTAATTGTATTAACATCGATAAACAAATAACATGAAGATCCTCACACACTTCAACGGAAATGGTGGCGGTAACGGCAAAATTAAGCCAGACACAATTTTAAGACAAACAATTTTACCACCACAGTTTCAGTGTGTAACGACCTTGACAGGGATTAGGAAAGCACCAGGTTAAAAATTTAGCCAGATATGAGTTCTATACCCACCGCGAGTGCTAAAAACTCATATTTTAGGGCAATAAATATATAGTTGCATTTTGTGAGGGTGTAACTAAATAAATGTTATGAATTATTCTTTCAAATACTTAGATTTTTTAATTAATTTAAATAATTTTTTTTAATTTTATAATTTTATAAATTAAACGTAAGAAGGCATTAGTACCTTATCTGAATTTATGCTAAGAAATAGTTATACTTATCAGAGGTACTTATTGTAAATAGTAAAAGTAAATGGTACAATACTGTAAATGACGAGTGTACACAAAAATTATAAAATAGTTTTTTTAATATTTATTTGGGGCAATAATGCAATATGGAAAAATGTTGGCCTTTCCTGTTTTAAAATATAAATATTTAGGTCGTATTTATAAAGTTTAAATCTAATTTAAACTGTATGACATCTTATTTTAAATATTTAACAATGCAAATTATAGTATCATTATAGCTAGGTAGTTCTAACCAAACAAAAAATAATTTTAACCTTTAAAAGTTTGCAGAACATTTATGATGTACAATTTATTCACTCATATTTAACATTTATAAATTAGTATTTTTTAACAGATTATACCATATCTAAATCATATCTATTAATAAAATAAATAATTATAAATTATAATTAAAATAAATAGGTATATAGTCATATAGGTACCTCATGTTTAGGGTCTTCAACTTCAATTATCAAATCTGTCGCTGCAGCACATGGTTTTTCTAATTTGCTTTCTACATCAACCTATTAAATAATATTATACATTAATACTTGAATTTAATATAATATTATATTTAGATCGTACTAATTTACAAAAACTGTTTAACAGAGTTTCAAAAGTTTTACAAGACTCTTGAATGGTTTTTAAAATATCAGAACAATTAGCAATAAACATTTCATAATCCATGATGATCAATTTGAATTGAATATTAATTATTGGCCAATAAAAAATAAAAAATTTTATGATTAAACTAAAAATATAGACGTCAAAGGAATTAAGTTGTTTTAATATTATTATGATAATCACATAATCATAATTTTAATATTATAATAACTCAATATAATAAGGTTAATTATTAGGTTAAAACTGCATAAGGAAAAAACATTAAACCGGGAACCGTTGAAATGTTGAATAATCAATGCTCAATGATTTGGACACACGCGATCACGCGGATGTAGAGAAGATAATATATTTTCTACATTGTGATTGGACATAATATATATCCTTATGTAATTGTTCTATGGTAGTTTAATAATAGAAGTTGTAACATTATGGTACCTATAGTGGTATAAGTACGGTATACTGTAGTTTAGACACTGGGCCGGGCGGCCGGACAGTGGGCCCAACGAAATCTATGAATAATAATAAATCTAATAATCGAGATACTATAAATATTAATATAGATAATATTAATACCACATTACCACTCCATGGCCAATAAAAGTATATTTATATTTAATTAACAATAATTTAATTTAATGACTTTCTAGGTATAGGTACAAACTATAATAATACCTAATCATTAATCAATGGTCATAACTCATAAATGATAATTATAGTTAATACGAAACGGCGAGTAATATTATAAATGTCCGCACGCACTTCTTCGGTGGCGGCAAAATTCTATTCTCCTGGAGGCAGGGTTGTTATGTTTAAAATATTGTAAAATCCAAGTGGACATTGTGTATTTTCAATACACCAACTCTGTCTGGCGGTGACGACTGACGGTAATTGTGTATTTATTTCGGGAATCCGGGTGCATATTTAGTATTTTACCGCCAAATGTCAATGCAGCGGTGTGTGGCGTGTGCTTTAAGACTTTAGTGCACCTAAAACACCCGCACGTGTTGCCTCTGTCTTACTAGTTACTCTTACAAATGTACAACATATCAAAAACTATTTAGCGCGGGACATCTGTACTACCTACCTCTTTATATGTAACAGAATTAACAAAATTACACAACGCATAGGGAAGAACTTTATTTGTGTCGTAGCGTTTTAATTTTTTTGATAGCACTAACAAGTAACCAATAATTTTAGATTCCGAGTGGAACGATGAATATATTGATACAATGATGTATGTTTTTTTATTTCTTTATTTTTGTGTCTGTCATCACTTTTAAGGACAGTAATAATGCTTAGATTTTTTACAACAGTATCTTTTCTAATAGGAAAGTGAATCTAGTTGGTACTTTGGGGGGTCAAAAGTGAAAAATGTCTAGTAGTTTTCAAAAACAAAAGAAAAATTAAGGAAATACGGGAATTTGTAGGCAAATTCTGTTTTCGAAAATATTTGATATTCACTCGATTTCTCAAGTAACGATTTTCTTAGTTTGTTGTAATTAAAAAACGAATGACTCGAAAATATTTTGACTCTTTTTGAGCTATTTACGGACATTTTCAGTTTTCATTTTTTTTAGTTTTTTTTTCTACAAATATAAATAAAATGTTATTTGCTGTGTAAAAATGTTCCTGATATATTATTACAAAAGCAGTTGAAAAATATTAAAAATACATAGTCACAATTTTTTTTTATAAGCATTTAAAGTTCAAACTTTGGCAAAATTTATCACATTTAAAATTTAATAATAATTGTGTAGTTAAAAATTTATAAAATGTTCAACTTTTATAGCTAAGGATTGAAAATTTAAAACAAGATTCCAAGTAAAAAGGTTTATATAAATTACTAAATTCACCTTAATATCATCAAATGTACTTCGTTATATCATGGGCTGACTGACCGTTTTCGCTCAGAATATGTTATCCAAATAATAAAAAAACTACGACACAGCCAAAGTTCCTCCCTATGCGTTTTGGAATTTCGGTAATTATACTTGGTGGCGGTAAAATCATATTGTTGTGGGAAAACGAGTCCGGACACAAATTACCGCTAAGACAAAAGAATTTTATTGCTACCGCTGAAGTCTTCAGTGGCGTATTTACGGGGGGGTCATTGGGTTTGAGTTGGGTATTTTTTTTTATCATTTAAATCTAAATTAGACGATAGTCAGGGCGCCGTCGAAAGAGTGAGAAGGACTGAGAGCGCGCGAGCTGCTGGTAGCTGGCGCGATCAGTGCCTCCAAACTCGTGCTTCCTTGAGAGGGAATATTCTGAATGAAAAATTTTCTGATGAAGACAGAAATGAATTTCAGCAACTAATTGAACTATATTCTCCTGCAATTGATAGGCACAATGTTCTTGCAGAACTGAAGATGTAGAAATTAAAACTAGCCTCCAGAAGTAACGAAATAACTAAGACTGGGATAGAAGCGTTCCTTAACTGCGATAAAGACATTTATCCAAATATTAAACTTCCCTTAAAAATATTTGTGACATTACTTGTGTCAACTGCAACTCCTGAGAGGAGTTTTTCTAGTCTAAAAAGGCTTAAAACGCATCTATGTAATACAATGAATGAGGTAAGAAACTAAGAACGTTAGACGTTTAGTTTTTAGAATTTTGTTTGGACTTATAAGTAATTAAACATTTCTAGACACGGCTGAATGGATTGTCACTACTAGGACAGAGGACTTGTAGCATTTGCATATTTTTTTTGCACAGTCATAAAAATAGCAGAGTGCGAAACAAATACGTATCATGCTTCCACAAAGCTAGTTTTGAAATTTTATTGTGCATATAAATGCATATTTTACCTTTTTTTGGTTTGTAGGGCATATTTTACACTTTTATACGCTATTTTATATTTTTTGAGATATATTTATTATTTTACTTGAATCGATTTTTTCCACAGAGACATTTTTGTTTCAAACAATACAGTCAAAATGTTTGGATAAAAATTTATTTATTTTTAATTTTTGTGGTTTAATATGGTTTTTGACTGTGCTCAGGCTCACATTTTTCTTAGAAGCGATAACGATTTTAACGTACACTATACCAACGACATCACCACCACTGCAGATACGTGTATACACCATGCGGGCTTTTATTCGATTAGGATTTATTTATAAAACGTTTCTAGACACGACAAGAATCAATATTTTAGTATTTGTTGTTAATGTATTATGTATTTATTATTTCAAATAAAAAGGTTAAAAAAATTTTAAGTGCACATTTTAATTGCTTATTATGGGGTTTTTTAGTGCATTAGTGCTTGCATATTTGGAGCTTTTTTAGAGCTAAAAGTCCTCTGCCCTAACTCATTACTATCAGTTCATAGAAATATTGATTTATATTTTATCCGCGGAAGAAGTCATAGACGAATTGTCCAAAACATCTAGAAAAGTAGATTTTGTTTTGTAAAATAAAAATAAAAAATATTGTATTTTTATATTTAATTATTTAAATTTAGGGGGGTGAATTGGGCGGAGCCACCCTCGAGTCGATAAGTACTGGATAAAATCATATCCCACCCCCCATGACAAAATCCTAAATACGCCACTGGCAGTTTTGATACAGAGAGAGTATAGTTTTCCCGCGCAAAAAAGTTTTTGCTATGTTGCACATTACTTGCAAGACGAAGACAACACGTCAGGCGAGACCTTTTAAGTTTTAACATTTAATAATATTAATAACGATTCATTATCATAGGCGTGTTCAGACTTTGGTGGCCGAAGGGGCACAACAAATTTTTAAAATGTGACACCTATTTTTTTTTTAGACATGAAGAAACATTCATTTTTTATGTTACAAAATTCACAATGGTAGGAAATTCACAAATCGCAACACGATTGCTACACAAGTACACAATTATGAGCGTCACTTTACTTTTTATAGGATAATTAATTGCTCGATTAAAAACACGAATCATACAAACAAATATTAATATTTTTATGTACTGTTAGTAATTTATCAACCAAAAATAAAAAACAGGAATTTTATTCCAAATAAATTGTTTTTTTATAAAGTAATACAAACTTTTTAAAAATTCAATATAAATCTAATTGAAATTGTAGTAATTATTAAATGTATCATCTATTCACTTTCGGAACTATTTGTTTCATTTTTATCATTATGGAAGGATACGCATGTGCTAGTGGTGTTAGCTCGAAGCTCACTTAATCAGTATTTATGACCTTTTCAAACTAACTATTTTTACAAATGGCACTATAATTTATTTTTGTAGATATTTATTATTTATAGACATGTTATTTAATTTAAATAACATGTCTAAAGGTATTTATTGTATAAGATTAATTCAATAATATTTGTACGAATAACGCTTAAAATGTTATCTGTGTGAACGGCTCATTATGAACCAAAATTAATAAAATAAAATACTCCAATTAACATATTTTACAGCATTAGGACCTTTAATAATTTATAAATAATTGATTATTTTATATAAATACCTATATTAATTATTACATATTTATAAATTAAAATGATTATACTACAATCTCCAAAAATATTGATTATATTAATATAATATTAATTAGTCAACTAAATAAGTGTATCAAGAAGACTTCGTACCCGCTCGGCTGTCTAATCATAAAACGAATGTAGGAAAAAAAACCAATAAAAAAAAGTCACGGGAAAAAATCTACTGGAAATATAACCCAAGGAAAAAAGAGTCAAATAAAAATTAATAAATACATAAAAAAAAGGTGGGCAAGTGGGTGTCGCAGGTGTTTTTACACTTTTTGGCACAACAGATAAAACTTAATTGATATTTATAGAAAAATAAACAAAAAAAATTGAGAGCTGTAAATGTCCGTAAACAGCTCAAAAAGAGTCAAAATATTTTCAAAATTGTATGGTGTATAGGAAATGCTAATATAAACATTCAGTGAAATTTTCATGTATCTACAGTTATTCGTTTTTGAATTACAACAAAATAAGGAAATCGCTACATGAGAAATCAAGTAAATATCCAATGTTGTAAAAAATTGAATTTCAAACGCTCATAAAAATTTAATTTGACTTTCTTAGACATTTTTTTTTTGATAAAGGTAGATAATCTTATAAGGAATCTTGTATTACATTTTCAAATCTTAGATTTAAAAAGAAAATTTTTTACGAATTCTTAACACAAATAATTTGCTAATTTTCGTGATTTTTCCATATTTTGTCAATTTTTGAACTTTAAAAGCTTATAAAAAAAAAATTGTGACTAAGGATTTTTAATATTTGAAACAATATACTAGGAGCCTTCTATTAAATTTTCAAGCTTTAGCAACCAACAAATAATATTTTATTGATATTTTTAGAAAAAAAACTAAAAAAAAATGGAAAATTAAAATGTCCCTCTAAACAGTTCAAAATAAATCAAAAAAATTTTTTTTTGTCATTTTAAAAATGTCATCGTGTATAGAAAATTCAAATATAAACAACCAGTGAAAATGTCATGTTTATACGTTCATTTGTTTTAGAGTTACACCAAAAACCAAAATCAATTTTTTGGAAAACCGATTTTGCGTAAAAATTCCCGTTTTTCTTTAATTTGTATGTTGTTTTTACCCGCGCTTGTGAAAACTACTAGGAAACTTTTACTTTTGACCCCCAAAGTACCAACTAGATTCACTTTCCTATCAGAAAAGCTACTGTTGAAGAAAATCGAAGCACTTTTACTGTCCTAAAACGTGATGACAGACACAAAAAAAAATAAAAAATTAAAAAAAAAAATAAAAAAAAAACACACATCGTTGTAAAATCAATACATTCATCGTTTCATTCAGAATCTAAAAATTGAAGTATTAAATAAATAATTATTTTTAATTTTGAGCATGGTTTAAATCAGGGGTCGGCAATTAATTTCTATGCCGGTCCAGATAATATGGAAAAAAAATTTCAAGGGCTGGAAAAAAGTAATATAAATAACGTGTTTATTTTTATGTTAAAAATACAGTTTAAGCTATTTAAAGCAAATTAATCAATATAATGTAATGTTAAGCAGTTTTTTTTTTAATTTGATACTCTTGTAGAACCACTATATGCGAGGAGTGTTTTCAAGGTAAATATCAGTTAATCTTGAACGATGTTATTAGTCTTTAAAAATTAATATTGGAGAACGAAGTTTCCCATATCTATAGGTTGAGCCAAAATACATTCAAATGCAACATGAAAATTTATCAAATATCTATTATATGTGCGATAAACAGCATTAAAAAAAAAAATATTCTGGGCGCCGGGCGGTCCAGTTATTTCACTTCCACGGGGGCCCAAGGGCCACCTATTGCCAACCTCTAGTTTAAATATACAAGATTATTGTATATAGCCCATATTGTTATCAAACAAAATTAAAATGGCAACGTAAAGGTAAGGTCCATATCTTAGCATAGCCGTCGTCCCCTTACGCTGCCTATTTAATTCCTTAACGTGATAAAATGATATAGTGGGGTATTATTGTAATAACCTTGTATATTTAAGACATGATTTTGAACATAGTTGGTCATAAAATGGGAAAGAGAAAAAAGCAAATTAATGGTAGGCCAGTAAGTATAATATAACTTAATATATGTCGTTCATACGGGAAAATGTAGATTTAAAAAATAATCACCCTGTACAAAGTATATACATTAATACATTATATATATCTAGGTGTAAGACATAATACATCAATTGATTTCAAGATAAAATGTTGGTAAGGTTATTCACAAAATACCATATATTCATTTAATTTATGGCATTTGTTGGCATTTTACTGAAGGAAATTCCCTGTCTTTGGTGAAGATAGAACTGTTATATTATAAACTTCTTTGAGCCTCACATATCTATCTCCAGAGTTCATACATTAACTATGAATCATATTTTACATTTTTATATACAATGGAATGGCGTAGTAATAAACCAACTTTCCGAAAAAATTCCCGGTTTTCTTTAATTTTTTTTTTGTTTTCCTCTGCGCTTTTGAAAATTACTGGGCATTTTGACCTCCCCAATGCACCAACTAGATTCACTTTCCCATTGAACAAGATAAGTACTGAAGTTGAAAAAACAAATTGTTTTCTGGTAGAAATACCACTATAATACCAACAATTTAACTATAATGTTTTTGTTAACACATTCGTCTCTAAACTAAGATCCAATATAACGTACTATCACTTAAACAATAAATGTATTATTATAAAAATGAAAAATTTGATTAAATTATTAACATTTTATATAACTAAAATATGACTCACCTTAATTTGTTCTTCACATTTTTTAGGATATTTTTCAAGTCTGCTTTGTGCAGTGGACATTTTTATAGGTGGCTGTAAATTTAAATTAAAGATAATGTAACTATATTATAGATTATTATACTATATAGTATCAGTATTTTGAATTGTTTTATCAACTTATGATGTACCAAATGTTTTAGCATACTTTTTAAAATAAATAAATCTGATAGGAGCAAAATAAAAACGGTGACGAGATGTAGGTTGGTTAGGTATTAAAAGAGTAAATTAAATTTATATTATTAGATGTTTAAGGTTATAATATATAAAGTATAAACACATAATACAGATTAAAATCTGTTCCCAATTTGAAACGGAAAAAATATTTTTAATCCTAAATAGTTATTTGTAATTTAATATGAAAAGTAACCATAGTTTGTAACTGATAGATTTTATATTATTTTTTTGGCATATGTAATATCATATGCAAATTTTTGGTATGTAATGAATAGGAAAATTAGGAATTCTAAGAACCAACAATTAAATTAACGGATAGTACCTATGTGATTGCGAATACCAAGCAATTTTATTCATTTTATAGATATTTATAATATGTAAATATATTTATTGACTGTCACTTTAATATGGCATTGAATAAAATAGAATGAAGTGTTATTTTTAAATTGAATAAAACAAAACAAATTAGTAAATTTATTAATATAAATGTATATAAATAACAGTATAAATTTACCATGTTTTGTATTGATGGAAACTTCTGAATAGATTTATGTGATGATTTCTTGAATTCACTATTATTCTCCTGTATAAAAAAAATATTATGAAAATGTAGTTTTCATGGAAGCTTAAGATATTTAGATTTTCTAATTACCTGCATGCTATTTTTTGTAATTGTATCTTTGTTATTTATATTGGCTGTATCTCCTGTTTGGAGTTTGTCCGGCTGAAATACACAAATATTATAGCAAGTGAAAATCAAAGTGTACCTAAACAGTTTTATAACAATTTTTTCTTCAATATTATTTTATAAATTATGTCAATATACTAATTGTCTGTGTGATGTTATGATGAAAATATTACAATAACTATTATAAAGATAGTGTCAAAATACACTAATGTATTATAAAACCAATATTTATTATTATTAAACTATTAATGGCTATTAGGTCACAATGATAAATTATCATTATTATATAATAATAAGAGACAAATAAATAATAATTTCTAAATAAACAAAAACCGAAAAATAATAAATGTATATTTTGTTACTTAAAAAAAAAAAAGTATTATATTATAATGTGATAGGTATAGATTTTATACAAATAATTGCTATAGTATAATAATTAATAACTGTTAAATATTACATCTATTTTATATTTTATCTAAAACTATTATTAAGGAATATAACAATCCTTATAACACTCATAAACTATTGTATATGAAAAACAATTCTGAGCGGTTAGAGTAGTCTTTATAATATTATATAGAATCTAAAACTAAAAATATGCTCTCTAACAATAATTACAAAAATTAGAATATGAATAAACAAAAAAATTAAAGGTGATTGTTTTTTCTAGGGTAAATATAGGTTAATAAAAATGAAAATTTTTTAATTTTCCACATCAGCATCTTTTCTGATAGAAAACTGAATGTAGTTGTTGTATTTGAGAGGTTGAAATTTAAAATTTCAGAGACAAAAAAAAAAACCCAATAAAAATCATTGTATATACAAAACATTAATTTGCTTAGCTCAGAATCTAAAATTATAGGTAGGTAGGGGCTTGATATATTATTCTGCAAAATGTAACACTTAATACTATTGTAGTATGGTAGAAATTATTTATAATGACACTAGGTGTAGTGTTAATTCATATTTAATGACCAAAATGTTATAAGATCAGAATCTAAAATATACTAATTTCTCTTTCAAAACTGTAAATGATAAAAAAAATATTTTAACTGTATTAAAGATACCTCAAAGCTATAATATCTACAGCTTTATAGACAAAAAATAATGAGATAAGTATAACTATGCCAATCTATTTACATATTGCCTAGATTTCTATTGTTTGTTTAAAAATAAATAAATAGTATAAATATTAAATAATCTTCCACATTTCCATTCAGATAAAAAAAAAATGTTTGGTAAACAAATTTATAAAATAATGGTGTAAAACCAAAACAATATTGAATAATTCATCCCATTAATTGTCTATGATTTTTATACCTATGTTTATATTTTATTGACAAGAGATAACAAATTAGATACATTTTAAAGCACATTGTAACACATGTATTTTTTTGGTAATCAAAAGATAATTAAATAAAAACGTGAAATGTAATAAGTTTAACAAAAAAAAAAAAAAAAATTAAAAATATAAAACTTACTGATGAATGCTTAGGTTTGTAACTAGCAGAACTAGAACTATATGTTGATTCTAAGCTACTGCAACTGCTAGTAAGTGGAATTTGTTCCAATTTATTATAATTGTTGGTATTTTCATTGAATACATTTATGTCCTAATATACAAATCAATTAGTAATGAATTAATTATTGCAGCATACATATTTGTTGAAAAATTCCAGTGTTATTTATAAAAATGTTCACTTTGTACTTATATATTAGTACTTTGTACTAATATATTTCATGTTTACTTACATGTTTAATTGGAACTGATTTAACCTCATTTTTTCTATTATCATTGGATAGATTATTCAAAGTCTATAATAACAGGAAAATTCAAAAAATCACAATTTAACTAATTTATAATTTTATATAAACTTTGAATACCAAATATTTAATTTATTGAATTGAAATATTGGGAATTTAAGTTTTAAGAAATTTTAAAGATAAAAATGATGATAGTATTGACAATTTTAAACATTTACTTATTTAGTTTTGAAAATATGATAACAGGTAAACTGGAAAGATATTCGGTGTATCATACTCAATAATTATTTTTAATAATACACTTAAAATCTACAATGTATACCAATTTAAAAAAGATAAGACTAAACAACTAAATATAATCTAATCTATCAATTTATTGTATGACCAATATATTTTTAGCTTTGCTTGGAATCTAAAATGAATTGTAGGAAAGGGAGATAAATCAATTATATGGTTTGATTTTGTTACCAAAAAACATTCAACAGTTTTGATACTTATATAATTGGACTAAGTGGTTCTTAAAGTGCGTATTTTTCATCTGAATTGAGCAAATATAATATTTAATCAAAGTAAAGAAAAATATTTAAATTAAATCAAAGTATTTAATACAATTATGTGAAATGGTTAATTATTTAGATAAGACAAAATTTATTAATATGAAAAAGTACTATTTTCATTTTTTACTTAAATTCATACTATAGAGAGAGACATAGTAAAAACTAGACATTCTCAATATCAGACCAAGATATATCAAAATTGTCAGCCACTTAAAATTTTTTTTCGTTTGTTTTGTGATCAATTGAACTCCAATAATAATATGTCACTCATACACATGGAAAAGTGGAAAATTGTACTCATTCATCCAGACATTTAGTTTTTTTCTAAAACGGTTCATTTGCATATTTTTGAGGATTGTTAGCTAGACATAAATACCATATTTTTGAATACTTAAAAAGTAAAAATACTTAAATCTATTTCCAATAAAAAAGATATAATTTATTTGAACTAAGTTAAATAAAAGTAGTTTCTGTTATTTCTTCAAAATTTCTCAGAAGATTTACCAGTCTTAGGAAAACAACCAATAAAATCAAAAAATTACCACTAAGAAGTACCAATAAAATACTACTATGAAGTACGAACAAAACTTAATTCCTAAAAAGAGCTACTTGACAAAGTTCCAATTAGATTTACTGTTACTATTTTCACTAACTTTAGTATTATACTTAATTTAATTATATATCGGTATAAATTATAAGTATGTAAGTATTAGCTATATGCTAGTACTATTGGCTAGTACTGTATTCTAAATGTTAACAGAGACAAATAACTATTATTTTTGTTACTTGTAAACACCAAAATTATAAAGAATTAAAATACATTTTTTTTCTATGATCTATGGTAAGAATAAATATAAATTTAGTAACAAAAAAAAAATACATTATACTTATGTATTCTTTTTATTTTTTGCAAAAGTGATATATTTTCACAGCTTAGATTATAAAATATTATGATTATGGTTATGTCTTACTTTAGTTTCAGGCAAACATACATCAGAATTTAATTGTAAGTTTCCATTATAGTTCTTAGTATTATCACTATAGTTGTTTATAGGAAACTGAGGCTAAAATAGATAAATAACATTATTAAAAGTGACGTTAAAACAAACATATTGTAATACCCAGAAAAATAGTTGACTCCATTTACCTTTTTATAATTATTCTGATCAAATGTTTTTGGCTCATAATTCTAAAAAAAAAAATAATAATATTTATCACTATGCAAACAATAATCAAGTAGTGTAGTAATTATTTTAAGAAATAATATGTAATAAAAAAAAAATAAATTAATTAAAACCTACAAAATCTGCAATTAAAAAATATTTAAAACTTCACAAAAATATAAAATGCATTAACTACAATCATTAAACCTTTTTTTTTAAATATATATTAGTATATTACCTACTACATTTACAATTATATTAGAATATGATCTGATAACAGATTCCTAAAATAACTTAAACGTTATAATGATGTATGTAAATAAAATATTACATACTCTCCCTGCAAATTTGGTCATCCAGAAAAATATATTAACTTATTGAATTTTAATTTTTAATTTATTTTTCTATTTAATTGAAAAAACTATAAAAAGTGTTTATATATGTTATTTATATAATAATTTGTTATTAGAAAGAAATTTAAGTTAAGATACCTCCAGACATTTTACTGTAGTACCTACTTATCTACAAATACAGTATACTGTAAATGTTTAAATGTTTGTAAATTATAAATTTATATTTAATATGTATTATACAATTTTATTTATGCTGAAGAAGTAATAACATATTCCCTTTCAAAAATTAAGTTAAAAGTATGGATTGACTGTTAAAAAAAATATTTTAGATAGAAAATATGATGTTATTACATCAAATTTGTTCTTGAAATGCAGAAAAAATTACATTACGATTTTCTGGGTTCCCATTATGATGTTTAAAGTGTAAGAAGAAAGACTAACATAATTTGAATTGAAGGTCTTATTAATATTAAATTTATACATACATTGAATTTATTATGCCTGTTATCACTATGTGTTGACTGTGTTTTATTATAAGTGTTGGTGTAATTAGGAATAGAAGTACCTTGATAGTTGTTTCGAGGCTAAAAATAAGCAAAACATTTTAGATATATTTAATTTTATAAAATGAATGTTTAACTTACAGGTCCATAATTCAAGCCACTATTTCCTTGTCTTAGTGGCTGTTTAGGTCTGTTATAGCCGTTATAAGTATTTGAAGAACCAAATTTTCTCGGAGCATTTTTAAAACCTATAAACTAAAAAATGTATATATTTATGATTTGTTTTTTTATTAAATATAATTTCAAAAATTGAATTTAAGATATATAAATGTAAACAACATGCACATTTATTTAATTAATTACGATAATACAATTTAAAAAAATAACACTAACAATTAATATTTTATACTTTAGTTTTGATATCACAATAATTTATGCTAGGTAATTAAATAAATATTGTTTTGCTAAATAATAATTGAAACAATTTGTGTATAAATCATATACATTTATAAAATGTATGCAAATATAGTCAAATTAATCTTAATTATGTTATATTATACTCATGACTAAATAAACATGCATGTCAGCAAACTCTCGTATTTTTTTGTATCACTATGCATGTGTGCTGTAAAGATATTTAAAACTACTAGTTGTATATATATATATATGTGTCCCAGATTTGGAATACACAATAATTTATAAGCCAAATTCATTTAGATGATGATAAAGAATTCGTTTATTCCATGTCTGGAGCAGACACTATATGCACAAAACAATTTTGATGACATGCCTGTTTATTTAGTCATGATTATATACAGTATAAATATTATTCCTCAATCCTGCCTTTCAATAATATTGTAATAATAATAATAATAACATATTATGTTGTGTACGTACAATTATGTATTTATTTATAAAAATTTGTGAATTTATGATTTGGATACTAATAATAATAAATTGCCACTCATTTATCGTGCCCCGACTAGACTACCCCCCTTTTACCATTTAGCCTTTAGATGTAAAATGTCAAAAAATTAAAATAATTGACATAAGATACATATTCAATATTAAAACAATTTTATATATTTAAATAAGCACTTACTGGTTTTTTTTTTGGTGGTTTTGATTTCTGTTTTTTGATAAGCTCAGTCAAATGTTGTGTTTTACTAGTAGCTAACGCTTGTACAATAACACTTCCACCATAATTTTGAATTGTAAACTTTCCAGAGGACTGTATTAGGGTTTCTAATGATGAAAATCCCAATTGCCTGAATGGAATTCGTTCGCCAGTTACTTTAAAATATTCATCTGTGCAGAAAATGGAATTTTTTTTCAAATTTAAATTAATCAAAAAAAAAAAATAAATAATTAAATGCATTTATATTGATTATGCTCTCAATTATACCTAAAATATTCACAAATATTCATGAATCATATGTTGCATGAACAATCATAATATATAGATGATTTGTTTTTTATTGTTTTAATGGTTAAGCGTCGCAATTAGTCTGATTTTAATAATTGATTATGCAATTTGATAACAGAGCTTGCAAACATTATAATGATGTTAGATATATTTGAAAATTTGTAAACGTTATTATATTGGAAAGCGAAAATCAAAAATAATTAAATACCACAAAACAAAACCAAACAGGTAATTTATAGAATATCATTTAACCGAAAAATAACGTAAAACGTAATTTATAACCTATTATTGAAAAAAAATTAGGCAAAACGAAATATTTTAAAATCTATTTATTTAAAACGTCTATTGGTTTCATATAAACATTTATTTCATGCAAACAATTTAAGAATTGATTATATTATATTCCATATCCTGGCCTCTTGGTTATTATTTTTAAATTTAATAGGTATTAACACTATTTTAAATAACAATAAACACAAAACTTGGATAACGTTTTAATTCTGTATAAAGATAAACCCAAAAATTGTAAAATGTTTTAATTGTAAATCCCATAAAACAGAATTTATTTTTCAAATTCAAGCCTTGATTGGTTATAATTAAATTTAATGCCTACTTGATACCGGGTATTGAAATTGTAAAAATACTTTTAAATGAGGAATTTACAATTAACCTAATTGGAACTTATTTTTTTTTCATATATTAGGTACAGTGTACATATAGTAGCACCACCCACCTTGTTAGCAAGTTTTAGGAATATTTTGGGAATAATTAAATTAAATAGGTACAATACATAATTATTAAGGAAGTCGGTGCCAGATTCTCCAATTTTGAAAAATTCTATAAAATTTGAAAACTATACGTAGGTTGATACGTTGTATTATATCAACGAAAATTATTTCACAGGAAAAAGCTTGCGCCCTGTAGAATAGTCGGAATTTGTCAATTTTTTTTTTTTATTTAAAAAAAGAACATTGTTTTAGAATCAAAGGCTGAATTTTCATTTTATTTTAAATAGTGGTAGAAATATACGTTTGAAAAAAAAAAAAACAAAAATTGTGCATTATTCAAATGCATATTTTAGCTCCTATAATTATAATTTTGAGAATCAAGCTTTGATCTGACCTGCAAAATGTTCTCTTTTTAAATAAAAAAAAAATTAACAAAATCCGACTATTTTACAGGACGTTTTTCTCGCAAGACATGTTTTGTACTAAAAATCACTCCGTGTCTGACACCCTTCAGAGGTTGTCTTACCAGCAGGCTAGTGTTGTTGTACACCCTCTGACAAGCATACAAAATGGAAAATTTTTGTTTTTAGTCTAACCAATTTTATTTCCTCTACACTCTATATGCCTTGCAACTTGTGTCCTATGATTCACGTCCAAAAAACCAACACAGAATGGATTACCCAGAGGCGAGGTGAGAAATAATATGTAGTAACGAGTGGACCGACTACACACTAGTACTAGCATTCATTTATCGCGTCTAGGTGAGAGTGTAAATGAAGCATTACGAGGATGTCAGAGCAATATTTGTTTTCTCTGTCAGACCAACAAGCAACATAGATAAAACGCTTTCACCCAAAATTGTTTTTTTATGTTGTATGAGTAATCTTATGAGTAAAATTACCTATTACAAAAATTATAAAGGATAATTATTTTAGAGGATATGACATATCAGTTTAATATTTTAGATTCTGAGCGGAGCGAGGTTTACAATGGTGTTTATTTTTTATTTATTATTTTTATTATTATCCTGTATACAACTTAATTCAACTTACAGGCTATAATAAAAATAACAATAATAATATAAAATATCCAGACTTACAAACCGTCTCAGCTGAGAATCGCTTTTCTTATACGATGATATTATATCATTGAATTCAAGTTTAATACAATCCATTATACATCGACCCACTTGTAAATTGTAACCTACAAGCAGAGCGACACCCACTTACCCGCTTTTGTTATTATTAGGCTTTGTATTTGACTTTCAAAATAAAAAAAACAATTGTAAATTTAAAATATGTTTCAAAACAATTTAAGCATCATTTAAATTTACAAAATTTTTTTGCAAGTTGAATACAATGTCAAATAACAATAAAGTATAGAATTGATATGTCATTCCCCTAAAATATTATTCTCTATCGTTTTTGTCATGGGTGATTTTACTCTAAGATGACTAAGAAAAAAAATATGTGTGCATATGTGTTTTGTTTATGTTGAGCATGGACCAGGGAGAGAAAACAACCAGTGAGCTAACATCCTCCTGAAGTGGATCGGAGCACTATTTGTATTTTCCTCTGACCCATGTGCTACATAAAATTGATTCCGATGGATACAAAATTGCAATGTTATAAATATAATCGTGGGTACACACTAAATTATTTGTATGTGATGCCCCGGGTCTTTCATCCAGTCTACTTCTGATTTTAAAACCATAAAAATGAATTCTAAAAATATTTTAACAACTTACTTTCTATTTGACTTAATTGTATTCCACCTTTGGTAGATATTAGACAAGCTTTTAAGTTGAGTATTACTGAATCCAAGTCTTCCATTTTTCTGATTTTTTCTGAGAAAAAAAAATATTTTATAGTATAGTAAATAGAGGGGTATGAATAACCAGTAGAAATAATTCATAACAGGTTCAAGGGATCAGGAAAAATAGTTTTCGACCACTTTTAACCATAGACCTATAAACTAATGGACAGCGCTTAGGGCCGTTCTTACAATGTCCTGTAAAGTGTCGGTTAACTTTAACCGGGCATTGTAAGAACGGCCCTTAGTGAGAGAAGTCAGGGGTACATATAGAGTGAGCGAGAAAAGAAACAAAGTAATAAAATGTATATAGTTCCTTATGCAGGCTCCTTCACTACATTATGTTCTTTCTCAGTTATCACCTAGCATTGATGGCAGGGCGGAGTGGAATGAGCTGTTCATTAGTTTAATGGTCTATGGTTTTGACGGGGCCATTGGCAGTCAAACAATTTGAGGGATGAGGAGTAGTTCTCCAATGACTTTTTTTTAAATGTTTAAGTTCTGATAACCATAAATAAGGTATATTTTTGATAAGGAAATAGTTCATCTTAATGAGCAATAAACCCCCCCCCCCGACCAAAGGCATTTTGAGGGGTACCAAAATTGTTCATGTTAATTTACATTTTAAGCTGACTTCCATAACCATAAAATAACATGTAAAAAAATAAAAGGGCTTTAGAACCCCTAGATTTTTCATTGAAATTGTGGTCCGGCCCTAGACAAAATCATTTGACTCCCACTGGGAAACCAGAGATGAGACCTTTAATTTTTGGTCATTAAATCTGGTATGCCATTACAATTGGTGTCATTCTAGACGGTTTTTACTGCATATACAAACAATAAAAAATCGTCATTACATTGAATAATTAGGTACGGTATTATACGGTAAAAAGGGCAAACATTTTGTAATATAGATTTTTAAAATTATAAAACATTAGATGTATACGTATTAACGTATAGGTTATCAATAGCACACATATTAACAGTTAAGTTTTTTTTATATATGAATGCTTGTCCTTAAACGGATATGATTTCGACGGTTATGGGTATTACAACAGGGAACGTGGGTAATGATTGATGATAAGCATTGGAGAACAAAAAGCTATGAAGATAAACGAAAAAAACTTACCAACAGACGAACCCTACTTTTAAATATTTGTCAATTGTCGTTCGCACGCCCTCCGCACGATTACTTACGAGTTACGAAGTCTCACACAATCACACTATGGCTGAATAAGTTGAGTGTAGTCAGTGGTTGCAAACACTCTCCCGTATCCGTCACTCACTACTCGGTAGTCTGTATCACACATTCGCACACGATCACAATGACAAAGTTTAATTGGACTCAACTATTTTTAATTGGATTTCAGCGAATTGCAAGACTTATGGGCCGGCGGAGAGCAGAACGAAGACAGCTAAAGGGAAACCGCGGGAGAGAAAAAATAAATAGATATTGGTCTGCAGTACTTATGTCGAACGACTTTTAGTATTTTTGGCATAGAGTATAGACACCGATCATGTGTTATTATTATTATTATTTTTGTACGTATTTACACAGAAAAATATTAAGTATGAACATTGAGAATAGATAAATAGTATCTATAGTCAATGGTATTAAGTAGTAGTAGTTGTTGGTCTTACTGGATACTGCTATAATCGAATCTAACCAATCGACGCCCAACGGATAGACCAGTCGTTTGTCGGAATGCGGGGAAATTTTCTGTGAAAGTACCTACCCCAATAATATTATGAAAATATTATATTATGTGGTATGTTATAAATATTTTTAGACAGTACTACAGCAGTATAAATATTAAATATGTGCACGTACCGGAAGTCCGGAACTGGGAACTGCACTACCGCCGCGGCGCAGCCTACAATACTGCACTCGAAATAATGCAGTAAGTGCCAAATAACGGCGTACCTAGTAGTGCACTGAATAGTGAATACTGAAAAAGTGAAAACCGTTATCACAAAATGACCCGTCACCACTCAACCTTTCACGAACGTGTTACTATATAATAAATTACTTAATCTTTTTCTATAATTAGGCAGGGATTCCTCTAAAAGTGTATAAACGATTAACCGAATAGTCTATAATCAATAGTGTAGTGTATAAATTAATATTATGGGGTAGTACTCACAGATATAAAATATTATAGTAAAATATTAAATAGTATTTTATATCTGTGGTAGTACTGTACTTTAGTTATTACTTATAATACTATTATAGACATATTATTGCATACAGTTGCAGCATTGCAGCCTGCTGCATAGGTCGTGTTGGCAATTTGACTTGACATTCCATCCCCAGACCCCACTATCATGTAGATAAGTACACTACCGCCACGGACTAAGATAAATCTATCTTAAACCGTGGTACCACCATAGAACAGTATGGAAGCGAAACTCGATCAGCTGATTGGGGTATTGGTTCCCTATGATCTGTTCCCTATGCTACCATAGTTCCGTATATTTATATTATAAACGTCGTAAATTGATATACCTACTATGGTTGCTTTTGTTACATTGATTCCATGTCCATCATAGATTGATAGATGTCACGGTTGTAGGTTACTCATGATCATAGGACACATGACTAATTAATATTTAGTCATGATAGGACATATTATACTGGATGCATAATTCTATAAAATAAACGGACTCTCTCATAATTTTGTTATCATAGAATGAGCGCTCCTCGTGGGATATTTTTGAAACGTTAACCATAGTTTATTTAACAGTTGGCAGGGTTCACTACAATCTAGTTCTACGGGGAGCCTTATGCCCTTATTACATTTTTTTTTTTTATTTATCTTAAATAATCAACCCGGCATCTGAGGCCATTAGTAGTTACAGCTAGAGAGCCTAGATAATAATTATAACAGCTATAGCGATTGGTGGCACAAAAGTTAATTACAATAGGGGTTCATTATGCTATCGTATTCTAATAACTAAGAACTATGGAAAAATGAACATAATATTTAAATTGAGTTATATAAGTTAGTTGATTTTAGGAAGTTTATTATCTTGTTATTGTCCTCGAATTCTGGTCCCAGTGCGGTGCTGAGTGTCGCGTCGATTCCGATCCTTTGTCTGTCTTGTTCGTACTTGAAACATTCCGTTAATATGTGTTTCACGGACAGTCTTAAACCGCAAGCATCACATAAAGGAGCTTCTTCCTTGGCCATTAAGTGTCCGTAGGTTAGTCTAGTATGTCCGATGCGCAAGCGGTTTAATATTATTTCTTCTTTCCTTTTTAAAGAGCTGTTAAGGGGTATGCATACCGACCGTTTCTAAGGAGTTCGGTATAGGCAATTTTCTAATGGTGTGCATGCGGGTCGTGTTAATGTGTGCGTAGTAAGTGATTATTAGTGTGGGTGACTGTGTATATAATAAATAGTGGAGCACACCCGCACGTGCACGCGCATGTCATTAACGGAACATTTTACACTCTAATTACAAATGTGAATTTTAGTGAAACACTGAAACTTAGTTTCGTATTTCCAATAATATAGCTTACTGAGTGACATTACAGTATGAACACCTATTATACAAATTGAAGAGAAGGAGTTTATCTAGGCTTGTATAGGAGTCGATTTTCGATATTTTATTTTCAATGTCCAATATTTAACTCTAAAACTTATGATATTTTACTTTTTGAATTTGAATTTTTGAGTTTAGTAATTACAAATATTAAAATTTGACTTCTACACAGGCACAGATTAACTTCTCTTCTACAATATTGATAATAGGTGTTTTTACTCTCAAATCACTTAATAAACCATATTATTGGAAATACAAAAGTACATTTTTATAGATTTTTTCAATACTATTCATACCCCTTAATCCATCGGTTGGTGGAACTTTTAATTGTGTTCAGTTTGGTAGTTTGTTGCTTCCATAACCGAAGCCATTTGTCGTTGGACATCTCACTAATATGGGATTTTAAGTCATCGTATGTTAGCTCTGGTATTACTGTTACTCCCGAGTTCGAGGTGGCAATTTTCGCCTGTTGGTCTGCTAGTTCGTTACCAATGATGCCCGTATGTCCGGGAACCCACATGAGCGTGATATGTTTGTTTCTAATTAAGGCCTCGTTTAGTTTATTTTGTATTTTTATTGCGACATCTCCAGGATGGAATTGGTTTTTGATGCGGTTGAGGGTACTTAGGGAGTCACTAAATATAATATGTTTTGGGTGGTCATCGTGTATTATTTTTTTTAATGCCTCGAGTATTGCAATTGCTTCAGCCGAGAAAATGGAACAAGTTCTTGGAAGTTTGAATAGAAGATTTCTGTTTCGGAATATTATTGAAAACCCTACTTCGTCGTGAGACTTAGAAGCGTCAGTGTATACTTTTTGGTAGTCTTTATATTGTTCTAATATACTGAGAAAGTGACTTCTGTATACTGAGGGAGGAGTTTGGGGTTTTAGGAAGGAAGTTCTGTATTTATTGAATAATGAGCTATCCACGGGGGATAGTTCATTGGTTCTCTTGATATTATTAGAGCCGGGTCAATGCCGTTAACATTTAATTCTTGGTGAATTTCAGTATTTTCCTCAGTGAGTAGTATGAATGTGGCTCTTATTACATTTGTTCTGTGCCTTATCCATAGATATTATGGCCTTATCGTAAAGCACTAGGGTAAAGCTACGAGCACTGGAGTTTACCTGCAGTTATGACGACTAATGGTTATACTAAATATACTTCAGGTTTTCATCTTTAGGAAAATGATGAAAAGTCACCTGGTTTTGTCCTTCCTTCTTTTTGCAAATAATACAAACGTGTTTATAATAGTTGTTATATGTATGGTAGTATTATAAAATAATATGGGTACATAGTTATTAATTATTATATTATTATTTTATAGTTATTTATTCTAAGGTAGTATGCAGTGACCTCATTTTTTTTAAAAATTGGCGGGCTGGTCTCGAGTAGTCCGAAACGGCGATAAAAGCGTTCGTAACATCATGTCTTACCGCCCAGCTTACAACATCAATCAGTCCGCCACAAAATAAAAACAATTTAAGTGGAGGGGCGAGTGTCGCTTCAATAATGTTGAAAATGTCCTATGGTATCACCACAGAATAGATGAAATTTCATCTATTCTGTGGTATCACTTCCTTTGCCCATACTGATTACAGAACCGACCGGCCCATCGTCCATGATGTAAATATGTAATGCAATAAATACATAAATAGTTAATAGTACTACTGACTTATGAGTAATATTAGTGAACACTGCGAAAACGAAATGGCTTGAGCGGTGGCGAGTTCACATTGACCAACTTCAAGTTCTAATTACAACTTACAAGTATAGTGGATTATCCGAATTGTCAGTAGATTGTTAAACCGCGAAATATAGATATGTCGAAAATCATGAGACGTACAGTTTTTGATCTTCCTTCGTCGTTTCGTATCACTTTCGGTGGACCAATGGTGCTTCAATCTCGCACCGCACACAACGTCCGGGCACCGCGGATCAAATATCCTATGTGGTACCTGCAGCGAGAGCGGGCGAAAGACGACCAACAACTAACCGGTGATAACCGTGCGTTCGTCAAAGAAGCCGTGCACGACAAGTTCGGCATGCCGGCGGTGATTCACGGAATATCCACGTACGATGTGCGATCTCCATTGAGTGAAGACTCTGTCGAGTGCGTGGACGTCGAATGGAACCCCAAGCTCCAACGCACCGGGCTTATAGCTCGCAAGCTTGGAAACTATCCGATGTGGTTGGACAACGGCAAAAGCGTGCTTTCTACTCTTTTGCAAGTCATTGATAACCATGTGATCAAATACATCCCACCAGGCGAGTTCAATCCACCAAGGAAACCATATTCGTGTCCTAATCACAAAAAACCACTGGGATGTCTTTTAGTGGGTGCCGAGAGTGCCGATCCCCAATATTTTACAAAACAGTATTGTGGATTATTTTATAGAGAAGGAATGATGCCAAAAAAATATCTTGGCAGGTTTATGGTTTCTCCAGAAGCTGCTTTGCAACCAGGTACACCACTCTTGGCTTCACATTTTCGGCCTGGAGACTTTATTGATGTACGTGGAAAAACTATTGATCGAGGATTTCAGGGTGTGATGAAACGACATGGTTTTCACGGTATGCCTGCGACCCACGGTGTAACCAAATCTCATCGCAGAGGAGGTAATGTAGGCCATGGCGGCGAAAAGGGTAGAATATTTCCCGGAACAAAAATGCCCGGACATATGGGTAACAGATACAGGTTACACAAAGGAGCTGAAATATTAAGAATCAACCACAAATACAATGTTATATGGATAAAAGGAATAGCATCGCCAGGAGAAACAAATTCAATAGTTTATTTATACGATACTATACTGCCATTAAGAAAGCACAAGTCACCACCACCATTTCCGACATCTAAAGTTGCAGATGATGATCAGTTAATAGATTCATATAAAGAACATGTATATAAATTCACTGACCAAACTATAACTTATGAAGAAGATAAATAAATTTGTATTAAAATAGCTAATATTTGTTTTATGATTTTTATGAAAGTAAATTGTTTTTTCTCATCAACAAACCATCTAAGAATAAGAAAATCTGTTTTATTATTCTAAATTATATAATCGTTAGAATTTAAAAAAATGAGTTTATTATAATTTTATAATTGTCCTTGTATGATAGGTACCAAATTATGATTAAAAATATTACATTTTGGAAACAAATCTTTTTCTCTCATTTTATAATTAAAATATATGTATATATAATTGACTTAAATAATCTAAGTTATACAAATATGCCAATATTAATAATATAATAAATAATAATAAATGCACGATCAAGCTTGATCAATAAAAAAAATAAAAAAATTACAGCCATATAATTCACAACAATTTAAAAAACATAATTCATGTAGTCTATTTAAAAATATATTTATATTAATTAATAATTAAGACTTAAAAAAATGTTTAAAGCCTACAATATAAATCTCCAGAGTCAGTTTAGGTTGTCCAACCTAGATTTTAACTCTTTGAGAAATGGTTGTGTGTCTGTAATATTGTGAAGAGATGACACACCAGTAATTACAGAGTATATACTTTCCAATACTATTTTATAGTGTTCCTTTGTTTCGGTAGTATAACTTATCTGAAAAAATAATTATAAGTTTTAGATATTTAAATTGAGAATTAATATAATTTTAAGTATTTACAGGGAATGTGCTATATGTTTTATCAGTTCTATTTTCTGTTGAGGTGGAGGACTCTAATTTAATTATCTTAGCCGGCGGAGGTTCGCTATCGCTATGATGATGGCGATTATTATTATGGTTAATATCTTGTGAGATGCACTTCTTGTTTCGACGAAAAACTGTGTTTTTTTGTAAATGAGTATCAGTTTCTTCGCGATCCATATCTCTTTTAGGACAAGAACAAATTTTTACTGGAAGTACACGACGGCCAAGCACTTGGCCACTGTAAATTACAGGAATTTTGATAATTATTTTGAGATTTTCTATTATATGTAATAAATTAAAATATATAAAAATATAGAGTACATACGTGTAATCCTCTAATGTGAATATTACAATTATAGGACGACGTTGCATTCCACTAATACAAGAAGTCTTGCAAACAAATCTATAGGATAATCTGGTGGTATCTGACCCATGTTCAGGTCTAGATAAAAGTGTAACTACACTTTTACGCCTACTAACTTCATCAATATGATAAGTTGTACTTTCATTATCACAACGTATAACATGTTCTAAATGTGTAAAACCTACAAAAAAATTTTATTAAAATATTATTATAAAATGTACAGTATATTATGAAGAATTTTTAAAAGAACATTATATTTATATATTTCGTATTGCTCTGAAGAGTATCTTGTAGAGATACAAACTTCTATATTTAAAATGAGAACTCAGTTTTTACTGCAAATTATTTAGCAGATGATTTTTTTTAAATGTTCTTAAAAATCAACCAAATCAAAATTCTAATAAGCATAGGCACAAATAGGGAGGGGGTGCTTAGCCCTCCCCCCCAAGAACTAATAATTTCATAACTATTATTTAAAAGCATCATAAGAGTATCAAGTATAGACCTGATCTATAGCACCCCCTCTAAATTTCCAACAATATTTATGCCTAAGCTAATGAGGAGTTTCATAAAAATGTTTATAATAAGGATAATAATTCCTGCTTAAAAAAATCACCCTGTATAATATATATAGTAAATACTCAAGGGGAATGGAAAAAAAATTGAGATATCGACATTTGACATAATGAGAATCTACTGTACACCTATATAAATTAAAAACATTGATAGTATAAAATTATCAATAAATACTGAAATGCACCATAAAGCAGGTATTGGACAGTCTAATAATTAGACTCTAATTGAACATTTAATTTATGTTTTTGTATCATTTATTAATTTATTCTTAAATAATTATAGAAGAAATTGAGACCCATCAATTTTCAATCACTTGACCATCAAAACAACTTGAAACATTATGTTTTTTTTTATTTACCTTTGTTAAACTGATCTATAGGTGATAAATGTTGTAAACAACGATCAACCGGTTCTTTTAACCAATCTGCTGAACTGTACATAGGCATAGCACGTACGAATAATGACATATTATTGGCAATCTTGTCATAATCACATTTAAAATTTAACAGAAGCACTTTATTTATGTCAATAAAAAGTTTTTGCAGTGTAACTGAATACTAGAGGAGATAAAATTAGAATAATTAGAACTATTACATAATTCACATAAATTATTAAAATACTCCAGGCTACGAGAGAATGTATTCAGCTCGCGCATCTAAATGACTGCGCTCAGCCACCTCGAGGCCAAATTTCCTCTACCACGCGGCAGGTGGTCTGTGCATACAGCGGCTCAAATAACACAATATAAACAAGAGTTGTGTTGATGATTTCTTGATCATCATTATCCATTGTGGTTTATGAGTTGAAAAAGTAAAAATATATACGGGTTGAAACAGGACATATTACACATGAATAAACGGCATTGAAAAATGTGATTACTGCATTTGCAGTGTATACAGCTGTCAACAAATACCGAAGCGCTCTGACGGCTTACGCTCGTACTGGTCAACTGGTAGGGATGTACAAAAAAAACGCGTTTTAATCGACCACCGTATACGTTCTCTCATGGCAAGGAGTATAGTCGATTTTGATTATTAACATTATACATACATTCCATTTTTGTCGGTATGACTGGGAACTGGAATCTAACAACACTTCAAAATTAGTACTTCCACCAAATTCATCCTGGCACGGTATAATACCAGTTGGTGATGATTTTACAGAGCCAGCTGTACATTTTTCAAGATTTTCTTGATCTTCTTCAGGCTAAAAATAAAAATTAATAAGCTATAATAATTAAAGATCGGATTTATATGTTTTTACATATCGTTACTGGGTCCATGCAGTCTTATTTGAGAATATTTAACCCATTTAGCATATTTTGGAATATTTCGTAAATTGTGAGCAAAAATTTTTCTTTATTTTTAATTTGAATATTACACAGGAAAACATTTTTTGAACATTTAAAATTTTTTTTTTTATATAATTTCCAACTCTTACTAAAGTGCAATAGTACTCCATTAGAATACACAACTTTTAGTACCTAATTAATACGTCACTATAAAAATAATGTTGAAAAAAATGTTTAAATGCAAATTAAAACATATAATGATGTTTATTGATTATTTTTGCATATTTTAGCATATTTCTGAAATTTGTAGAGAATATAATGAGAATATTTGAAGGTTTTTTTAGAGAACATTAGCATCATATTTTAAGTATTTTAAGAGAATATAAATCTGGTCTTTAATAATAATATTTAAATTATATTTTAGATTTTGAAGAAATTAATGTATGTATCTTAAGCGTTTTAAAAACTAAAAATGCTTCAACTTTGAGTGGTTTCTTGTAAAAATCAGCCCAGTTTATGAAAAGTAAAATATTCCAAATACTTTTAAAAATAATCGGGAAACAAAAACAAAAATAACAGGAAAGTGAATGTCGCTCTGCTGACATTCACTCAGTGGTTACAAGTTGGTTACTGTATAATGGATGATATTAAATTTGAATTCAATGATATAATATAATTGTATAGGAAAATTATGCTGAGCAGAGATGGTTTGTCAGTGTGGATATTTTAAATTATATTCATATTGTTATTACATATTATCAATACAATAGCCGGTAAGATGAATTAATATTATAAAATTACAACAAAATAACTAAAATCGTTATTCTATCGTCATTTAATATGTATTTTCGTCTAAATTTTAATTAAAAATAGCTATGAAAAAAATTGTGTTTCTATAATTTTTAGTTTTTTTGGATACAGAGTTAACTACTTATATAGAACCTTGTTATAAATTCAATTCTTAACTATAAAAGTTGAACATTTTATACATTTATGACTAGAAAATAATTTTTAATTTTGATAAATTTTGTCAAAATTCAAAAGTATAATGCATATAAAAAAAAGTGTCACTGTCATTTATATAAAATAATAATAATTTAACTATCATTTTTTTTTTTTTTTAAAAGGCAGGCAAACTTATTAGAAATCTTGAATTAAGTTTTCTAATTTTAGATTTAGAAAGAAAAATTTTTATGAATTTCTGACTCAAGATAATTTGTCTATTTTTGTGATTGTTACATATTTTGCCAACATTTGAACTTTAAATGCTTAAAAAAAAATTGTGACTGAATTTTTATTTTTTCTTAAATGTCATGGTAACAAAATTATTAAGAGCCTTGTATTAAATTTTCAAGCTCTTTTACCCAACAAATAAAATTGATTCGACATTCATAAAAAAAAAATCTAAAGAAATTGGAAACTGCTAATGTCCGTAAACGGTTCAAATAAAAATATTTTTAAAATTTTATCATGTATAGAAAATGCTAATATAAACAACCAGGGAAAATGCCATGATATGTATACAGCCATTTGTTGTAGAGTTACACTAAAAAACCAAAATTGTTTTTGTCGAAAACATATTTTGCGTAACATTTGTAATGCTCAGAATCTAAAATAAGAAAAAATAGGTATGTTGACATGAAACCAGATTTTGTTCTTTGTTATAATGCATAAATGAATAAACTGTAGTCATGAGATTTCTAAGCATTTTCTAATCCATTTGTGTTTTTGGTTTGATTTAAAAATATTTTTTAGACTTTTTAGGTTATTTTTGATGTGTTTAGTAAATGTTTGTTTGCAGTAAAAAATCTTGATATTTAAATATTGTGTCCCAGGTTTATTAAATGTTTTTCTTATAGCAATTTATTACAAAATATTTAAAATACAACAAGAAAAAAATTTTTTATGAGCGTTTAAAAAGTTAAAATCTTTATTAAATTTGTCAAAATCATGAAAATATGTAAAGTAAATAACACCTATTGCTTGAAAATTTTACGCAAGATTCCTCATAAGATTAATTTATATTGTTTATGTTTATCATATGCATTGATGTATCATTGAATTCAAATTTAACACATCCATTAGTGACCTACTCAATGAATAGACTCAAATTGGCAACATAAAATATGTTAGTTAGTACTTGGATCAAATAGTTTAAGTTCAAGGCCCTTGATCAATATTACAATAAGATTATGACAACATTATTCAAATTATATATTATATAGATAATATTAATCTAAATAATTGTCATAGTTATCTTAACTCAACTAAAAGTTACCGTTTGCGGAAGATTCAAATCTACAACCCTTCCATTTTCCATTGGCATTGAAAAATAGTATTCATTGATATCATTTGGATTCATAAATACTCCATCAAACTGATTCAACAGTGGTGTTAAGCTGTCATTACACCTAATAAAAATTAAATCAAGTTTATTATAATGTACATAAACCTTCATTATTAAACAGTTATTTTAACTTTTAGGCTACCAAATGGTTTACCTAAATGGTTTCATACAAAATGTATTTTATTTTTAGATATTTTCAAGATGAGGAATTAATAATTAAATAATTTTCAAATATTTATCTAGCCGTTAACAGTTAAATAATGCATAACTAACTCTTTTAATAATGGAAACACATAAATAGTACCTATTATCTTTTTCCATTAGTTACATTTAAAATGACTGTTTAAATTAAATTTGAATTTCTTAAATAAAAAACTTAATTAAACTCATATCAAAAAAGCAAATAACAAGCCAAGCGTGCAAAGTGCAAAATATTCAATAACCATGCTTATACTTACATATTAAAATTAAATATTTCTTCATTAGAATTCTGCATTTCTGACAGGCCGAAAAATTTTGTATCATCCATCTAATACAAAAAATATGTCTACACAAATTATTTACTAACTTAATTTTTAAATATTCAACTAATAATAGTTAAAATAGGCAACTAAATATATAACAATTATGGTTTAAATGCAAATACAAATGAACAATATTAAAAATATACAAAAATTATTTAAATAACTCACAAAAACTGTAAGTAGTGTATAGAATGCATTACTAAACTTAATATATAAATTAATATAATATAATTTTATCTAAAAATGTATTAATTAATCATTTAGACTTGACCATGTTATAACTAGAGGGCAATGGATTGTTCAACAGACAATACAAGCAATAATATTATACATAATGAGTAGGGTCCGGATAATGATGCTCTAAAAAAACTATAAAAATTGAATTTATAACATAAAAAAACAAAAATGCTCTAAAAAAATCATGGACTTTTAACTTTTGTCATATTAATTTTTATTAAAATTTAAATGCAATTCAAAGGACAGAGAAAAAATAAAAATCAAAAATACACGAGGATACTGAATTAATAAAATCATAAATGCAACTAAAACGGTTGCCACCAGAATTGGGTATCGCCGTTAACAGCACAAAATATATTGATAAAAAGGTACTCGTCCAATATGATATCTACCGTATGACAGTATGCTCGTATGCTGTATATTATGTATACTTTATCATTTTGCAATTAAGATTTAAGATTAAGCTTTTATTGAAACCCCAAATTATATTATATTTATATTTTATAACTTAGTAAGTTAGGTAGGTTAGTAGGTATATCTTTATATTATACCTGTTTAGTGTGTGTTTGTGAGTCGTGTCGATTATACCTATACGTGGTTTACTGTGATTTATTTATTATTATTTAATAATTATTATTATGAGTTTGTCAACTATGAGTTATTTATATCGACACATAATTCAAAATGAAGAGATGTGCGAACATTTTTTAAGCATACGCGGTTTATTACCAATCGACCAAACATGTACAAAAATTAAAAACCAAACAATTTGAGGTGGCGAGTTAAAAAAAGTTCTGAAAAATAGTCGAAAACGTGATTCGGAAGGTAATATTTTGAAAACAATTTATAATCGATGTACAAAAAAAGGGTGCCAAACATTTTATTCCATATGCAAATAGTAAAGGTAGATAGCATACTAAACCATCGAACGTGCGGTAGATAGCATATTGGACGAGTACCGATAAAAACTAGGGAAGTATAAGAATTTAAATTTAATTTGTCCATTGTAAGAATATCTATATAATGATTTTAACTTAAAAGTGTATAATAGGTCAATTTAGTCTAATATTAAAGCACAAGAATGATTTTGCTGAAAGTACATTTGCTATGTTGAGTGTGCCAGAGAGAGAAAAGAAATAATGCACTGAAATCCTCAATAAATTATGTTGCAATTAATTTTTTTGTATAGAAAGTAATAAATAGGTACCTACTTACTAATTACAAATTTTTTTTAAATTTTTATATTAATCACATAAATTATAATCAACTATTATCAACTTTTATATAGGTATTATTTACAGATTTTGATAATTTATAGCAACCTTTTGAGATTTGTAGAGGTGTTACAACAGAACGGTCAATAAGGTTATCAATAGATCAAATGTCTTTGTCTCCTAAAGAATTCAATCAACAACTAACTCCACTACAGTAGATAACTAGTTACAATTATAAATTGTTAAATGTGAAATATATTTAAAAAAAGAATAAATATAATATAAACCATAGGTATTGAAACTGTGTGTCGAGACTCCAACAGATGTCACAAGTATTTGTGGAGCAATGTGACCCAGAAGAAGAAAACAAATTAATTATGATGGCGATTAATAAATTAATTTATTCTTAATATAAAACATTTAATTTTGGTTTTCTATGCATTATTCCTATTAAATCTGTTGTCTGATATAAATGGTCTGTATTTATAATATATTATATTATTATACATAATTAAAAACTAAAACATTATCTTCCAGTTTCCTTAATAATTCAAAAGCCACCAAAAAAGTTTTAATGTTGTGAAGAGACAAAGAGTTGTGGGATGAAAAAGTTTGAATATCCCTGAATTCTGATATATATACAATTTAGAATGGATAGGTATCTATTATTTGTAGTCGTTGCACATTGGTGGCGGTTGATTTAGAAATAGATCTTACACTCATGCTCTTAATGCGGAGAGTACAAAACTGGTAACCCCAGTTTCTATTAACATTTTGAACACCTGTTAGAATTTGACGCATTTTACCTATGTATCTGCGTCGAATTGTCCCAACAACTGTGTTGACATCAAGCTCTCATGAAACGATTAAAAACCACGTATAAAAATGGAGTGTTACCTTGATACCAGAGTGAATGATAAAGCCGTACAGATAACTATAAAAACGACTACCTGTTGACTAAAGCACTCAGCATGTGAAAAAAAAATTGGTGTCACTGAGTAGACTTCCCTGGACTGAAGTGTATTCAATATACAGTAAATCATAGACATATAAATAATTTATGTCTATGCAGTAAATCACTAATTTTTTTTGACTGTTATTTTAACTACTAAGTAACAGCACTGATTATACATAATTATATATATTATACTATGTATAATCAATGGTAACAGCAACCCAAGCGCCTAACAATCACAAATCACAATCATACCTATTGGACAAGTTATTTTTACATAGCATCATCTTAGATGGAAAACATACAAAATAAGTAAATTAAATGGAATTACTAAACACAATTTTAATTTTTTTATTTCCTGTATTATTACCATCCAAGTTTAAACACAAAAAATGTGTCATAAATGAAACAAGGATGAAACATACAGGTGACACAATAAAGCGGAAATACAGAATGTGTACAAGGAATAACACTGTTTTTTAATAACTTATTGGTCAAAATGACCGATGCTACTATTCATTATTCATATATTACAATGAAATTCAAAATATTTAATTTATGTAGAATTGTATTTCATAATATTATAAACAATAATTTGCTAGCTAAAACAAACATAAATTAAAATACGCGGTCTATTTCAGATTGAAATTTTTTATTCGTATATTTTGGTCGAAAAGACAGATGATACCTATCAAGTGATTTTAGAGGATGCCACCAATGATGGATTAAAGTTACAGTATTACTATACTGTACACACTACTTGGGTATGTTTATTTTATTTAATAAACAAATTGTACTTTCATATTCATACTAAAGTTATTTGTCTGGTATTGTTTACTAAACTACCCAATTTATCAAACACAAGTCACAACTTAATACAAATTATATAGAGTGCAAGTTGTGAAAACTAAAAACGCAATTGTGCTCCATAGCCAAGACTACTTGTGTATTATTTAAATTGTTTAAAGGTTTATCTAAGTGCAATTATTTTGGAGGAAACACAATTGCGTAAATAAAAACAAAGATATATTACAATGTCATAACGCACAACTAAAATGAAAACAAGCATAATGTCCTTACCATAAAATCCGTGAAATATATGTATCCAGGTGAAATTTAACAGTGCACTTACTGCGCCTACGGTATAATAATATATAATGGCGTGATGGATTATACAATTAGTTAAGCAAACTCAATAAATTTAAAGTGTAATGACCATACAATTAATTTCAGAAACTTATCACAGAGACAAAACACAGACACCAATTGTAGTCCACCGAAGATTGCACCTGCAACCTGTATGATAGCTGTAATGCAGTACTATTGTGTATATAAGTGACTATATAGTATTATGAGTACTCCTCTTATTACTAAGTATTTACATTATGGGATACAACTGGTATAGTGATACAGTATACTGAACAATCTATGATGCGCACTGCCGCACTGCACAGTGGGCACCTTGGGAGTTGGGGCTTGGACGACGAACATGTGTAGCAAGGTGTTTTGGATGGTGTGTAGCATAAATATTTATTTTAATATGTAAGGTGCATAACCTCAGAATATATACCGCGAAAATAACCATTGATTACAAATACCAACCACTATCTATTAATCGTGATACCAACTGATACCGATTTGTTTATAAAAATTAAAATTTGAAGGTTATGTTCAATACTCCAAAATGTCAGAATTGTAAATTTTTCGTTTATAAACGTTACTATTTAATGTTTTGATGATAATTTTGATATTTTTTATTTATTTCTAATAATTATAACTTAATATAATAAGAAAGCTGGTAGAATTTTACTGTACAAATTTAGTATTTAAATTCATAAAATGGATTCTGATCTTTATGATGAGTTTGGTAATTACATTGGACCAGAATTGGAATCTGACGAAGAGGAAGAAGAACAGCCACCATCTCCTGATCCAGAACCTCAAGATATTGATGTAAGTAAATAAATTTAATACATGTAATATTTATGTCTAATGTAATATCGTATTTGTAGATGATTGAGGAGAGTGAAGATGGACCAGAAGAACCGGGTATGAGCGTTGTTTTACATGAAGATAAACGGTATTATCCGAGTGCTATTGAAGTGTATGGGCCTGATGTAGAAACATTAGTCCAAGAAGAAGATGAACTACCATTAACAGTTCCACTGGTTGCTCCTGTTAAACAACATAATTTCCAAATCAAAGAACAACATTTACCAAACACCACATATAATATGGAGTAATTTTTGTTTTTATATTATATATAAATTAATTTAATTACATGCTATATTTTGACTAGGTACTTGGCCGATTTAATGGACGTTGCAGGGTTAGTACGTAATGTTGCATTGGTTGGACATCTTCACCATGGCAAAACTAGTTTAGTAGATTGCTTAGTCCGTCAAACTCATCCAGACTTAGGGCAGTTAAATTTAGATTCAGCAGATGCTGATTTAATGCGTTATACAGATACTTTAATGACTGAACGGCAAAGAGGTGTTAGCATTAAAGCCACTCCTGTGACATTGGTTTTACCTGATGTTAATTCTAAATCATATTTAATGAACATTTTTGATACACCTGGTAATATTGCTTTTAAATTTAAATTATTTTATTTATTCATAAATCTAACTTTTTTGTTAACTAGGTCATGTTAATTTTTCTGATGAAGTAACAGCTGCGCTTAGAATTTGTGATGGAGCTGTAATATTTGTTGATGCTGCAGAAGGTGTAATGTTGAATACAGAACGTCTGATTAAACACGCTATACAAGTTTGTACAGAATTATGTGTTTGTTTGTAAAACATATTAAACATTTTTTTTTTTAATTTTAGGAGAAAATAGCAATTACTATTTGTGTGAATAAAATTGACAGACTTATGTTGGAGCTTAAACTTCCTCCTCAAGATGCATACTACAAAATTAAGCATATAATTGATGAAGTAAATTCTCTGTTAAGGTATAAACCAATATCAGACTATTACCTACCTGATATCTAACTATACTCCGTTCCACGAAAAAAGGCAACTCATATTTTTGTACTGTGTCGGTGTGCAACTTGTACTTTGTAGCTTGTCATAAATGGGGGATATTTGGCCTCAGTGCTATCAGTCAGAAGCGCAAACGAGTTTTTTTTTCTCGTGGAACGGTCTATAATATAGGGTGATATCAAATTATTTTTTTATTTTAAACTGCTATACTCAAATTATTTATTTATTTTACAGTTTACACTCACAGAATGATCCATCTCGTATTGTTTCACCAATTATAGGAAATGTTTGTTTTGCATCAGCTCAATATGCTGTTTGTTTCACACTAAAGTCTTTTGCTAAACTTTATGCCAATCATTATCCTAATGTTAAGGTTGACAGTTTTTCTAAAGTTTTATGGGGTGACATATACTTTAATCCTAAAACTAGAAAATTCTCCAAAAAATCTCCACATAACAGCGCTCAAAGAAGTTTTGTTGAGTTCATATTAGAACCTTTATATAAATTATTTGCTCAAGTAATTGGTGATGTAGACACTACTCTCCCCGATGTTTTGGATGAACTTGGAATTAAACTAACAAAACGAGAAATGAATATTAATATACGACCACTATTACGCCTTGTTTGTGGACGCTTCTTAAATGATCTCAGTGGTTTTGTGGACATGTGTGTCAATCATATACCTTCACCAGCAGAAAATGCAAAAAACAAAATTGATACAATTTATACAGGTCCTCAAGATACTGAACTAGCTAAGGATATGCTTGATTGTAATCCAGAAGTAAGTTTTCTTTAAGATATACTGTTAATTTATGTTTTACATTTCATTTTTTTTTCTTAGGGTCGTTTAATGGTGCATAGTACTAAAATGTATCCAACTGATGATTGCACTTTCTTCCAAGTATTAGCTCGAGTAATGAGTGGGACACTGCACGCTGGACAAGAAGTAAGAGTTTTAGGTGAAAACTATTCCTTGATTGATGAAGAAGATTCTAGGGTAATGACAATTGGACGATTATGGGTACATGAAGCTAGATATAAAGTTGAAGTGAATAGAGTACCAGCTGGTAATTGGGTGCTAATTGAAGGTATTGATCAACCAATTGTTAAAACTGCAACAATTACTGACTTAATAACAACTGACGATTTATACATATTCAGGCCATTAAAATTCAACACTCAGTCTGTTATAAAAATTGCCGGTAAAAAATTAATACTGAAATAAATAATTTTAGTAAATATAATAATAGAAAACATATTATAGTTGAACCTGTAAATCCATCTGAATTACCCAAAATGTTGGATGGTTTGAGAAAGGTCAATAAGTCTTATCCGCTTCTTATCACTCGTGTTGAAGAATCTGGTGAACATGTTATACTTGGCACTGGTGAATTGTATTTAGATTGTGTAATGCACGATCTGAGGAAAATGTATTCAGAAATTGGTAAATATAACTAGCATTACAACATACCTAAATAGTAAGTACTACATTTTTTTATTGTTCAAGATATAAAAGTGGCAGATCCAGTGGTTGCTTTTTGTGAAACTGTTGTTGATACATCATCATTAAAATGTTTTGCTGAAACTCCAAACAAACGTAATAAAATAACAATGATTGCAGAACCATTAGAAAAAGGTCTTGCTGAAGATATTGAAAACCAAGTGGTTGACATTTCATGGGACAAGTAATACTTTACTTATTTGTTTTCAAAAATGATTTTATACATTATTTAATAATACATATTCTGCTATTTAAGGAAAAAAATTGGTGAATTTTTCCAATCTAAATATGATTGGGATTTACTTGCAGCTCGTTCCATATGGGCGTTTGGTCCAGATACTACTGGCCCAAATATTCTAGTAGATGATACTCTGCCATCTGAAGTTGACAAAAATATACTTAGGTCTATAAGGGATTCTATCGTTCAAGTAAGTTATTTACCTTTTTATAAAATATTATTACTTATTAGTACTTAATTTGTTGAATAGTTTCATTAAATATTATTGTTAGTTCTAGTGAATCAAAAACCATTAATTTGATTGTCAGTAAGTGGCGGCTTGAACTTTTTTCCTTGACTCACATTTAATATTTTTACACCAATGGGAAAATAATCTTTAAATAATTTTCAAACTAGCTTTTCTAAACATAGGACACTCGCCCATTAATATGTTTGAGAATCATGTCATTCAAATTTACCTACTTGGAGGCGCCACAGTTGTTAGCTATTCCAGCTTAATTTACTTTTATAAGACAGTTTAACCTTGACTTGTATTCCTTAAAATTACCAAACAATTGTTACATTTATCCCTATGAGGTTTTCATAAAAGTGATGACTTTATCATTTTATATTATTTGTCTAAGGGCCAGTATTACCATCCCCGGTTAAATTTAACAAACTCCTAACCATCGGAATTCGGCCGGTAATAAAATCTGTTATCAGTCGGTTAAGCGTAATCAAAGTGTAATCAATGATTGTAATACTGGCCCTAACTGATCACTTATATTTCTAGCTTGAATTTATTAATATTTTCTGCTATTAATAATTTATTTTAGACTAAAACTGTTTTAAAATTAAAATAATTTGTTTTGATTTTTAAGGGTTTTCAATGGGGAACTAGAGAGGGACCATTATGTGAAGAACCAATTCGTAATGTTAAATTTAAAATATTAGATGCAGTCATTGCCCCTGAACCATTACATAGAGGAGGAGGTTAGTACTAAATACTAATAGTTGAGCTACATATAATTCAATGTCTTATAGTACATTAAAAAATTATAAATTTTAGGTCAAATTATTCCTACTGCTCGTAGAGTAGCCTATTCAGCATTTCTTATGGCAACACCTCGTTTGATGGAACCATATCTATATGTTGAAGTCCAAGCTCCAGCAGATTGTGTTTCTGCCGTTTATACTGTATTGGCTAAAAGAAGAGGACACGTAACTCAAGATGCTCCTGTTCCAGGATCACCACTATATACCATCAAAGCTTTTATTCCTGCTATTGATTCATTTGGCTTTGAAACTGATCTACGTACTCATACTCAAGGACAAGCGTTTTGTTTATCTGTGTTCCATCATTGGCAGGTTAGTA